ATGCAACATATAATATATTCAGTAAACACTATCAATAAATATATGTATTTCTGTATTTAAATATTTCTGTTGTAATAAATTAAAATGATGAGCTAGGGTAAATTAATTTATTTACTCCCGACACCCTGCTATCGATAACAGGCAATTTTCAGAATAACGTGATATCAATTTTCTCCACTTTCTGACCAGCCTTGGCCCTAATGTATTTTTGGATAGATCTAGTTAGTTTAAATTGTTTGCAATCTAAAAATTCCGTTAATCCTAATTTACTTCTAAAAAAGTTTATTTAAAACATCAAATATTTAAAGTTAGCATATCTAACCTTCAATTTTTAAAGAAAACATTAGTCCATGCAATAACGAGGCATACCGAATAACAAAGATTCAAAGATGTCTACCTCAAAGTTGTTGGCGGAAATAGAATGTATTACTATTAGAAACAAATGCAAGCTACGAACAATTTTCGAAACAATCTCACCCATTCCAAACAACCGTATTTAGTATTTAGAGATGCTTTGGGCGTTGCCATCTTGTCTCACTAAAAGCGAAAACGAAATTTAAATAGGAGCCGTCCATTAAAATGGGGGGGGGGGGGAGATTTTAAAAACCATTCCAAACAACCGTATTTAGTACTTAGAGATGCTTTGGGCGTTGCCATCTTGTCTCACTAAAAGCGAAAACGAAATTTAAATAGGAGCCGTCCATTAAAATGGGGGGGGGGGGGGATGTTGTAAAAGGTGTACAATTGTTGACAGGTTGGTGGAGGAGTCAAAATAAATTGACGTCGTCAACAATGCTATTTTCTTTGATATATTATAAACAATTAAATCCATTAAAAAAACAACCTAGATAATTCGCATCAAAATAATGTTTATTTCAATGGTTAAAATTTCGTATAATTTCAAACTGAAATTGTCAGAAAAGCACCAATGACAAATAACCATATGCCACTAAACAACAAACAAAAGATATGCGGCTAATTCGAGTGGCTTCCAAAAGACAGAGAGTGGTGATGGCAATTATTGCACACACATAAAATGCTCATTTTTTATTAAATTAAAAATCATGTTTTTTTTTGTTTTTTTTTAAATTGCATTTATTGTCTGCTGAAGAAGGTATCTAGCCAAAACACCCACTCAATGTCTTGTGGTTTACTTTTCAAGCAGAAACATATATTGCTCCGTTATTTATTTAAATTTATTTTCTCCCGCCGACTTTAGTATCTTAAGCTCTCAGGAAAGCCGCATTTATTTATTTTTATATAGTTTCTTTTGACACAAGTAATTCGGGGTTCATTGAATAAAAATGTCTCGCCTCGCCGCTGCACAGAGGGTTAGGACAATTAATATTGCTCTACACCAGCGCTTTCGAAGCTTTGCATTTTGGTGACACATTTTCTTTAGAAATAAGACATTTGGCAACACGGTAAGTCAGCTTGACCAGTATAGGGCCTACGGAGGGGGGTAGGGGCGGGCTCGAATAAGCCACTTTAAGACGTACGGGAATAAACGGACAAAGCAATAACCTAATGTACGATGACACAAAATATTTCAAACAAACCTTTCATTTATATTTTGGATGCGCTTCTGGGACGCAAATCGAAAAGCTAAGTGACCTTTTTTCGTGCACCATTTTAACAGATCCAAAATCATTGTTGAGTTGATTCTTCCTCTTCAGAAAGTAAAAAAGATCATCACTCAATTCAAAGATATTGAGTCCTTATCCATTCATAGTCTTGGAGTTTTCTCTTAGGGCAGTGGTCGGCTAACTCATTAGTGAAAAGAGTCAAAAATCAGCTGCAGGACGATTAAAAAAAAAATTTGAGAGCTAAATTCCCCCCCCCCCCCAACCCCCCCAAATATCTTTGAGATTCTGGTTATGTCAGCAAATATTCTAAAATAATTGAACCATTTTTAACTTTCTTTTCAAATATTTGATAAGTAAAAACTTTATTTTTTTTACTTAGCAGTGGCAAACAGCAGCAACAGTTGTGGTAAATTAAGTCCTTTCACTGCAAATGGAGCCATATTGGGGTTGTAAAGTCAATTAAGTTCTCCCCCAATTTTTTTGGACTAAACTAAAAGAGATTGCAATCTCTTGGTTAAGTTTGGCACAAACGCAATCGATAATTAACATTAGCATGGCATCTGCCACAAGTAGGTTTTGAATACTTTTGCGAGAGGTACTGCTTTCTTGACACTGGAATGGATGGATGGTTTTAAGGCTTCAAAATAATGTTCAAATAGACTATCAGAATGTTTTCATTGCACGTTGACGTCTGCTGAAGACAAGTTTACATTATAACTGGATGAATCAAGAAATATTTTCCTTTCCTATTGGGTGAATTCGTTTTTCAAACTAAGAGCTCTTCTGGTTCTAGTAGGGTACATTGCTGCATCCATGTACTGACGTATGTGCAAAGGTTGGGGAAGCGATGCGGCTATTTCTAATGGCTCCTAGCAGATGCCAAGGCAGCCTTGAAACTCTCGATTGATGTGTCTACGGCGGCCTTGTCCAGGTGACACTGACTTTTGCTACCATTTGATAAGCTTAATAAATTACCTGTATGCCATGCGTATATTTACAGAGAATTCTATTTTGTTATTAATATATAATAAATATAAACATATTAAACAATAACCTTTAAAAAAATATAATTTCTGATAGCAAATTTTATGCTGAAACTGGCTTCTCTAATTTCAATATTTTTTATTTGCATGCAAATATGAACAAATAAAATAATGCAACATTAGAGAACAGTTTCAAATGAGTGCAGGAATACATTATTCATGTCAATCGGGTCACAATAGAAAAATAAATGACGTGCTATTCTAAGTTGTGTCACAAACAGCTGTGGAAAATTCACAATAATCAAGGATTCATAATACACCTTTTACAAATAATTTCAATAATATTTATTGTTTGGGGGGGGGGGGGCCCTTACATATAAAAGTACATACAAACAAAAGTCATCTTTTAAAAAAAAGAAAAATAAATGACGTGCTAATCTAAGTTGTGTCACAAACAGCTGTGGAAAATTCACAATAATCAAGGATTCATAATACACCTTTTACAAATAATTTCAATAATATTTATTGTTTGGGGGGGGGGGGCCCTTACATATAAAAGTACATACAAACAAAAGTCATCTTTTAAAATCCTATCCTGCTGTACTTGTACATTTATGGACCCCTTCCCTCCCAGCATGCATACATACAAATGATCTTACTAACTCTCCCCCCACCCACCGCTTTGATTTAATTTAAAGACAATTACAAAGGCATACGATGGAATAAATTTGTCACCAGGCTAAATATAAGTCTACTCATGCGCAAGTGAGTTAGTTTATGAAAAAATAAAGCAACAGTATCCAATAATTACGAAACATTGGAGTTATTATTTTTTTAGCATGGCTTTTAAAAATAATTACAAATCGGGGATTTTGGTGCAAATTTGTGATATTAGGCTATTTATGCACAGTTAGAATTTAAGGATAATTACTGCGCATAAATATACTTTCATATTTTGCTAAGATCCCTCCGTCATTCGCACCTGAACCCAAATCCAGTATGTACATAATATATGGATGGCCCCTTGATCAACTAAACATTAAATCAAACTTTCATACCTTTATAAACCTAACCAATAAAATTCTTTTGAAATAAAATGCTACAACAGACAAACTATACATCAACATGAAACAAATGAAAGATTGGATTACTAGACATTTAAAAAGAAAACAGTTGAGCTTTCAAAGGCATATGCAATAAGAATAAGAGTAGACAAAATCAAACAGATAGATTAGAATTTCTATGAGAACATTTTAAAAAGAAATTACTTAAGGTTGAAAGAATCACATGCTTTCAGCAACTTGAAACTTGCCAATAAAGAAATGCAGAAGAGTACTTATATGAGTTTAATCAAGCTACAAATTCTTGACTAGCGCTGTTCAGATAAATGCAACATTAACTAATTTAGCAGGACACCCAGAAAGTAAGAAGAGCGAATTTTGTGATGAGCAAAATTAAGGAGAGAAAAAAAAATAAATTGGTTCACAAGGTGTTCCCATCATTATAATTAATCATAGAATAAAGCAACGCTAAAAAAATTTTTTTTTCATATAAATCCTTTATAAAATGTAATATAGAGCAATGGGAGGTGGGGCTAAATTTTTTTTTTTTACAAAACATGCATACAAGTAATGCACTTCATAATAATCCCAATCAATTTTTTTCTATACCAGTTTAATATTCTAATGACCCACCTTCTTTTACACCGCAGATTTATCTCACCATTTCATAAAAACAATAGAAAATATTACACACCAAACGCACTTGCGATATTTAAAAAAAAAAAAAAAAAAAAAAAAAAAAAAAAAAAAAATATAAAAAAAAAAAAAAAAAAAACACCCAAACCACCTTGCAAAATTTAAAAAAAAAAAAAAAAAAAAAAAAAAAAAAGAATATAATTTAGCGCAGTTATTGGGAATTTTATTTTGAGAATTCAGTGGCGTGATATTTTCTTCATCTTTTTGGAGGTTGGGGCTGAAGAAAAAAAAAAAAAAAAAAATAAAAACAAAAAGCAATTGCAAAATTAAAAAAAAAAAAAAAAAAAAAAAAAAAAGAATATAATTTAGCGCAGTTATTGGGAATTTTATTTTGAGAATTCAGTGGCGTGATATTTTCTTCATCTTTTTGGAGGTTGGGGCTGAAGGTTTGATAGAATTTGTTTGTCACCTGCCAAGTTTCAGCTTGATAGGTTGACAGAAGGTATGTCAATTAGCCGTCCCAAGATTTTGCCAGCCAGCCAGCCATGAACAAAAGCAAAGTTAATATAAAGGATTATAAAAAAGACTGTAAATTTACCAGTAGTTAAAGTATTAGAATGACTTTAAAAAAAAAATCAAATCAGCGACTCTTAGGACACAAAGTCTAACAGACACATCTTAGTAACCAAGATTGATTGGACACAAGACAATACAAACCTGACATCTTTGTCAGAGCTCTCAGTTCAGAAGTCCTAATTGAACGTTTCAGTAAGCAATGAAACAATGCCCACTGAGCCGGTTGTCAATGTAAAAAAACAATCTAGTGAATAAAATATTCAAAACAATAGCAAATGGCATGCGGCATACCAGTATTTGTTGGTTCGTCATTTGTATTACCAGGCGATTTACTGTATTCTGCTTTTTCAAAACTCACATATTTTAGATATTTTCAGGCAAAAGCAGATCCAGTAAAAGTTAGTAAAAGTGAATTACCGGTAAATAGGGAATATAAATGAGTGGCCCAAATGTGAAAGCCAGCTACCATTACAGTTACACCATGAGTGCCCCCAGTTGCCACAGAATTTCTTTAACAAGATCATCTTGTTTTGGACAAAGTGCTTAAATCCTCCCTCAACAGAACAGTTACTGGGGTTAGGGTTGGCTGGTTAAAACAGAAGTGGATCCTCTGTTTTTAACAAATGCACCAAGTGTCCCATACCTGACTAACATGACTGCAGGTCTGTAGCACCATAAAACGTTTTTAAAACAAAACTTTTTATTGAGTCAAGTCTAAAATGACTGCAGGCTTGAGCCTGGAACAGCATTCCTGACAGATACAGTGTATAATTATAGCCACAGGGTATGGCTACTTGGATCAGCAATGCCCTATACACAGCGTATTAGTAAGCACATGAAAAATGTTGCATTTGCCAATAATTGTGTGAGATCTTCCAAAGTCTTATTAGATCCAATTTGGAGGTGAAATTTCTGTGTGGAGACACTATTGATCTACCAGAGCCATGATTTGATGAGCTCATACAACACTTACAAGTTGTGATGAGCACTGTAGAAACACATTCAAATGAAAACAAGTTCATCGATATCATGTGTCACTGAGGCTGTCCAGGGCCAACAATATTTCCACCAAAATACTGTGGGAATATGTACTGATTTGAGCCAAGCTGCTGCTGTTGAGGTTGGGAGACGTGCTGGATGGTGGACTGCTGTTGCAGCAGTGGGAAGATGGATGGACTCTGTATGACCTGGACTGAAGGGTCAACACTGCACTGACCATTGGCAACAACTGGTGGCATTAAAATGGATGTAGTTGGTACCATGACTTGAACCTAAGGATAAGGTAAAAAAAATATTTAAAAAAAAAAAATTAATTTCAAATGTTCCCTGAATTTTTAAATAATCCTCTGAATTAATGGACATTAGTAAAAGGAAGAGATGGTGTTTGAGATTTAGAAAAATAAACTGCAAAACAGTAGACTAATCTAAAACCACCACTAATAAGAAAACAAAACATGGTGTTAGTTATGCCTTAGCAATTTAAGACTCAGAAAATTATAAGAGCATGATTTGGTTATAAAAAAACAGGGGATATATTTTACTTTAGCAGCTATCCCTTAACAGAGCTCATGCCATATAAATCTTTTAGACGTTAAGCCAAGCAACTTTATCATCAAGTTCTAAAAACTTCAAATCTTGCTAATTTTTAATCTCCTTTTGAAATATTTTATTTCCTATTGTGTTATTACTTTCTACCCGCTAATACTAATTAGGCTAATTTTGATACCCAGAAAGGGCATCTACATTTATAACATTGCTAACCTGTTGGGGCATTGTGCCCTGTGATCTTTGCTGGGGTAAGTACTGAATCTGGAAATTGGTACCAAAAGTTGTGGGGACCTGGTTATTAAAACAAAACCAGCAATTACAACACTGATCAATGAAAATGACATGGACAAGTTTAACCTGAGGATGATTGACCATTTCCCAAAACTAAAAATGCAAGATCTCAACGCGGCATAACCTCACAGAGGAACAACATTCTAACATTAAAATATTTCCTGCATTGTTTTAACATTAATAATAGTATAAGAATAATATAATATGTTATCTGACACAAAAATAACAATTCTACACAAGACTTCAGCTTCAAAATACAAACACAACTTCAATATACAACCATAACTTATAACACTAATAACAAAATATACAAGTACATCAGATCTACCTGTATAGCTCCACTTGAGTTTATAAACTGAACACTTCGAGCATTATTCTGCCTTGGCTGCTGCTGCCATGTTATATCCTAAAAAGAAAAAAAACAACTTTTTGTAACTTACAAAAATTTAATTCCTTAAACTTTATTTTATAGTATTGGTTTGTTCAATAGATTATATAGAAATTTATTAAAACATACAAAAATATGTTTCATTTTAAAGGGGAACATTTCAAAAGTGGTAAATTATCTAAAACATATACCACTTAAAATGGTGAATATTAAATTTAATTATATTTCTTTCCCTCCATTTCGTTTATTGTCTTTTAATTTGTGTGTGCAAATCTCTTTAACAATATCTAGCCAACTGGGTAACATGGTAAGATTAACGTATGCTGATGTTCTAGAGTTTACATCCAACTTCATCAAATGTCCCTCAATTGTCTGTTGGTCAATCAAATCAGTCTCACCATAGAAACTGACCAAAGCAAAAAAAAAAAAAAAAAAAAAAAAAAAAAAAAAAAAAAAAAAAAATAAAAAAAAAAAAAAAAAATGTACTAGAATTTACATCCAACTTCATCAAATGTCCCTCAATTGTCTGTTGGTCAATCAAATCAGTCTCACCATAGAAACTGACCAAAGCAAAAAAAAAAAAAAAAAAAAAAAAAAAAAAAAAAAAAAAAAAAAAAAAAAAAAATCAAAAGAAATATAATAGTGAAAAAGAATTGGGAATTTAGACCATGAACAAACATGACCCATTACCTTGGAGACCGAACTAGTATTGTTGCTTGTGTTATTTGAAGATTGACTGGGCACCAACTTGAACTTTGTTTTACCCAGAGTGCTCTGCAAAGTGTATTTTAAATTATTAATTTTTAGAAAGTGTAAAAGTCTTCAGGGGGTTGATAAATATATAATTTATCAAATGTGTAAAAACTATTTGCATTTTAAATAATTTCACCATAACACACCATCTCAAAATTCAAAAGAACATCAACAGTTATTCAACAACTTAAACAAATAATAAATCATCTGACAGCAAAATTATAATTTCCAGTTTTTGTAATATTAAATGCGATGCCAACTCGTCTGTGTAACAACTAATATTTATTCCTCATTCTACATTCTTTTTATACCTCACATCACATGATCACCCACTCCATTTTTCCAACCAATATTCACGGCTTTAAGTTTAAACATTCATGAAAACAACTCACCATGTCCAGTCATACCACATGACAGCAACACAGGCCAATCAGGTCACAAAGTTCACTCAATGCACACAACAATGCTCATAAGTCATAATTCTATCACAGTTTTTGTGCTTTATTTACATTTTAATTTTTAAAAATTAAATTTTTGCTAGCATCATGGTAATGTGCTTGACATGAGATTAAAAATGGTTGTGAATTAGAACCAAAAAATTAAAAATCCCTTTCATCACATCATGGTACTTTATTCAATCTCAAAATTTTTTTTAAAGACTTTCTGTTGGTATCAAAGTTGGACAAACAGGTAATATCAGTTTATCATATGAGCTGATCATCACACTAAGGCATTATTTGAACTATAAATTAAATCAATCAAAGATTTGGAAAGACACATAATATGCAGTAATAGCATGACATATTAAGAGAACATGTAAACAAGGGCATCATTTTTTGTTAAATGTGCTTTTTCATTTTTTCCTTTCCCATATTAATTATGTTGTCTGGAGAAATTAAAAAAACAGCAACGGGGAAGGGGCGGGGTGGTTTACCCCCCAACTCAGATTGGAAGCAACTGCCCCCTTCCCCCATGTACATGCACCTGCATGTGCATACTTGTTATAGTGAGGTGCCCTGAACTAGCATAGTACATCACAAGTCATGACTTGGGCTGGGTGAGGGATGCACATGTAGAAAAATAGGGGCTGCACATTAGGCAAAAATGAATAAGCCACCAGTGGCATACCCCAGGATGGTGGGAAAGAGACTGAGGTCTACCCTTCTTGTGACAACACAATGCACAATATTATGTTAATAAATCATCATTGGTGACTCTAATAAGTCTCAGCTGTGCCCTGGTTAAAAATCAAATAATCTTAAAACTAGACACCAAATAAAGTCCAAAGAACTTGAAGGAATTTTGTACAATAAATTCTTAATTAAGAAACCAATTAAAATTTGAAAGTCCCAAACTGACCTTAACTGTATCCTGGGATGGTGACAATAAGGCAACAGTTTTCTTAGCTTTCCCTGAAGTTGTTGGTCCAGAGTTTAAAACTGCACTCACGTTATTGCTAGTGGTACCGGTGCCTGGAGCTAGGGTTGAGATGATGTTTACATTCTGGCAATGTAGAAGAGAGGATTATTTAGTTAGCCCTTTGATTTACCAGTCATGGTAACAGTAGGCAAATTTATAATTAGTGCTGATGCTTCTCTGTTTGATTTTATTGATACAGTATGACAGATCCTGGTCAACTTCTGATTTATGTGCTAAGTTAAGCTAAGAAGAGTTGCAATAAGTTTTTAAAATTATGAAATTTAATTTTAAAAAAATAGAAACCTAATAATAATTTTTCAGCATCAATGCTATTTTTTGCTTGCAGAAAACAGCGCTGATAAGTCCGCTTCCAAGTAGGTTTTCCTAGAATTGTTTATTTTGTTTCCATGAATTCGCCAGACTGAAAAGTGCAGGCTGCTCTAAACCCAACTTCCAACTTCTGTTCATTAATTTCATTTCATATTACCACTTATAACGCAATCCCCTTATAATGCAAAACCCCCAACATTTTGTTTGAAAAAAAAAAAGGAGCCGAAAAGTGTCATGTCAACGTATAATGCGTTGTTAGTCTTGTCCATAATAATACAATACAAATTAATAAAATAAATATTTATTTATAATAGAAATGTGAAATTCCTTAAAATTATTGTAATATCTAAAATGAACTACGGTTATACCGATAGAACAACATCTCATCAAAAGGGTGCTACTGACATTACAGGTGTTATGCATTGATTCGATGGGCTCTCTGTCGCCCAAATGCGATTGGGCAAGAAGATTTGGTTGCATTGCTAGGTCCATATATTCTTTACCAGAAATGAAACAAATTCTTACACTCATATAATACCAACCCCTAGTTTTAAGTCACATTTTTTACCTTAAATTTTGAGCATTATATGCAGCAATATACCGTACCGATATTTTGAAATGAATTCTAAAATAATTTTTTTAAAACTTTTCAACTTGTGTCGAACACACAAAACATAGGAAAAAAAAAAAAAAAGAACCACAGTTAAAAAACAACTTTAGTCTGGTTGATCTCATTTAATTAAAATTGTGTTATTATGCCAGAATTTCTTCTTATCTAAAAATATAATTAAAAAGATAAAATACCTGTGGTGTTGATGAGGCTGCTGCTGTTTGTGGTGGCTGTTGTTGGGTCTGCATACACTTTGGCATGTGAGAAGGCCAGTGTTTCTGCTGGCACTGATAGCTGCAATAACTTGTGTTCCAGCAGCAATAGTAAACAGCTTCTTTCAAACACTCGGCACACTGGGGAAATTAAAGCCAAAGACATAAAGACTTATCACTAGTTCAAAAAATAACAACAGAGGTACCGGTACCAAGATTGCAATTATTTATTAAATAACATATGAATGCACTGCAGAACCATTATAGAAAATTTTAACAGCTGATGAAAAAAAGGAATTAAGCACCATTCCTTTTCCCAAAATTTACATTTCGTGATCACAAATACTTTAGGAAGCATGTAAACTAGTAGACTTGTTGATAATAGTATTACTACTCATCAGCAATACAGTCTAGGACAATTTCAAACCTTGACAAATAATCCACTTGAGTTATGTTATTCTTAGGGTTATTCTTAAGAATACATTTACAAGTATGATCACATAAAAAGGAAGAGTGAAAAATGGAAATTAAATTCAAATATTATTTCAGTATGATCTATTATTTTACCTGCCTAAAAAAAAATTAAAAAAAAAAAAACTATTTTAAGACTGTAAAATGATGAACTATAAATTCAAAGAAGTTTAAATTCAAATAGGAAGAAAGAAAAAATACATCTTTTTCATAATCTGCAAAGGTTTTTGAGGCTTTTAAGTTTGCAATTTACTGGCAACATTCATTCAAATTATGGTGAGCTGTTGCACTTTCATGCAAAGTAATGTCTTTGGATTTAATAAATCTAGATATATTTACTTTGAGTTAAACCTAGAACAAATGGTAATTAGTTACTGGCATGTTACGGTTTTAAAATCTATTTTTTTTTTTGGACAAAATAATGAATATAATTTATTTTAGCTGTTACCTTTTCCAGTCAAGATCTAAATAACTGCATTCTAAAAGAGCATTTGATTCTCATCAATAACTACAGATTGACCCTCAGTTGAGCACAGATTTATAAATGGTAAGTTTATTTAAAAAAAATTAATTTGAATGTGACTACTGTCTCACCCATTGTTGCTTCTTTGTTTCTGCCACCACTTTCTCCATTTCTCTGTTGAACTCTTCTTTCAACTGGGAAACTAAAATGTTCTTCTGGAGCTCAAAACTGGCCAGGGTCTCTTCGAGTGTTATTTCTGTTGAATTTCAAATGCCATGAGGTAAAATTGCCAGTGTTGCCAGTTTTTTGGTATATTATGCAAGTAAGCTTCAACTGTCCAATACAAAATGTGTCATTCGAGAGAATATCACAAGCTAGCATAATTTTTTTATATTGAGAAAATGAAACATACAGTTAAAATAATTTGTCTTCAACTAATCAGCACTATCAACAAAAGAATGAAAATAATAATAATTTTCTTTGTTATTTTTTGTTTTGTTTGGATTTGCAACTTATTTTTGCTAGCTGCTGTTACTTCCGAACCTGTTTTTTTTTGTACGCAGCGTTAAGAAAACAAAAATTTAAGACACCTGAATTCTCAAATGCTCTTACGAAGTATTAAGGATGAGAAAGTGGACTGTAAGGAGACAGCTAATAGGAATATGGGGATTCTAGGATAATGGGTGGGGTAGAGAGGGAAAGGGCATGATGGAAGGGGGGCTGAGGAGATGTTGAGTAGATTAGTGTTTGGGGATTAAGGAGAAATATGCAGGTAGGGTCCTTGTGGGGCACAGTGTAGGGGCAGGATAAGAGGTAAGTGGAGAATAATAGGGGTTAGAATGGGGATAGATATTGTCGAGGGGATTTGGTGGGTGTTGAGAGGGACAGTGGGGTTGAGATGGAGGTTGTTGGGATGGTGTAGTTTGAGAGGGGGGTTGGTATAGGGTCTGACGGGATGCATTTCAGATCTTTGGAAATAATAGGAGTGTATTAAGTGGGTGAAGTTACTAGGACCACCACTGGTGAAACTGATTGGACCACCAGTGATGAAATTGATTGGATCACCACTGAAGATATTGACCATATTGTTCAAGCATAATTTCTAAATTAAAAAAATAATAATCAGTATTGCTCAGATTTTTTAATTTTAAATATAGAAACATCACTTTTTCATTGGGTAACCTAAAAAAGTTATTAATAAAATTACTCTATTTGTTAAAATGGAATACACTTACTGGCACTGTTGGACATATCCTCTAGTTTCTTTTCGTACATGTCCGTTGTTTTCTCCACTTCTGCAGTTGTTCCAGAGCTACTTGCATGCTTTGAAAGTGCCTTCAATAAATTTAAAAAAAAAAAAAAATAATCTAAATTGTTTAATTTGAGTTTAAAAAGAAAGCTTTTGCAATTTTAACATAAGGAATACCAAATATATACATTTGATATTAAAATTGATGCAGAGCCCAACAGAAATCTAATCCTACTTAAAGGTACCCGTAAACAGAACCCTTTCAAATATTTTTAGCCTGATATTGGTAGGTTACCTAAAATTCAAAATTTGAGGCCAAACAATTACATTTAAGCTAGGCAGTGGCGGTCACTGTGGGGGACAGGGTTAAAAGGGTGGGTGTTGGGAAGGGCAGGTGTTTAACGACAAAAGGAACAGTACTTTTGAGATGGCTGTTTGTGGAAATGGTGTAGGGCGTGGAGATAATAATTCTTTTCTGTACATATTATTTGTGCCAGGGGAAAGGTTAGCCCTCTGTTTTAGTTTTACAATTACAACACTGAAAATGAAAAGAATGTTGATGATAAAGCCAGTTTAAGCATAGCACATGTTCAGCTTCAGATGGCACACATAATTACAAAACCACCTGGTAAGTTAAATAATCTTCTTTCAGTAATTTCATTGCCAGCCGATGGGCTGCGGAACTCCCATTTCGTCATTGTAAGTGTTTTTAATGAGGCGCTCCGACAGCGTTTGTGTTTCGTCGGTTTTTTCATGACTACTAAAGAGACGGATGATTTCTGCTATAATTTGGCAGTGATGCAATTTACAATAAGCTGCCTCAGATCCATCAGCGGCTTCCTGAAACCATCCAAATGTGTGTTTCCAGGTGCGTCTGTACTTTTTTTTGTAAGAACTTTCCATTTCATTTTTGGTCACCATTATTGCATAGTCTGTAGATATTGGTTGTTGCTGTAAAAACCATTATTCATTCAGGTCCACTCCAGCAAAAACCAAAAAAGCCTGTTTGCTTTGACAAATGGACTTAGTTGTCCAATACTGTAAATTGCAAATTGGTACAAACTTCTACAGAGTACTGGTAAATCTTTCTGAAGAACCCCAAACTACACTAAGTATTTGTACATCTTATCAATTTTTTCCTGCATATTTGCATTTTAAAAATCTGTTTCAGATAACCAATGTTGCCAATAGGGGTTGCCCTAAGGCGATGCGACTGAACCTTGCACCATCAGAGAAGCCAAAATCAACAACATTTTTTTTAGTTACTGGTAAAAGGGGGTGAAGTTACTAGGACCACCACTGGTGAAACTGATTGGACCACCAGTGATGAAATTGATTGGATCACCACTGAAGAAATTGATTGGACCACCACTGGTGAAAGTGAATGGGCCACCACTGGTGAAATAACCGTCCAGATAAAAATCAGGTGAAGACAGTAATAGTGAGTACAAAAAGCTGCATGCAAATCAAAAGAAGCATCTCTGATAGACTACGTTGCTGCAACAAAGTACTGGCATATGTGCAATGGTTTGGGAAACGATGCGGCTATCCTAACGGCTCCTAGCGGGTGCCAGGGGAAGCCTTGAAACTTTCGATTGATGTCGAGTCCACGGCAGCCTTGTCCAGTTGGTTCCAAGCAATTATTGTTTGTGGGAAGAATGATTGTTTATATTGAACTGTGTTACACCGAGGTACAGTGAAGCCTTTACCATTGTTCCAAATGTAACTGCTCATGGAGTTTCCAGAGGTGAAGTCAGTGTTTATTGAGCGTTTGGCTCTGATTAAGCGACCTGGCTTCTGTGGGGTGAGAAACGTGTTAGCTGGAATGGCCGGCACTAGCCCCATGACCACTTTATAGAGAAATGTTAGACGGGAGGGGATGTCATATCTTTTTAACAGGTCAGTGACAAAGCCAGGAGTGGAGTGATGGATATGTAGTCACTTGCAATGAAGCGCACTGCGTTGCGTTGTATTTGCTCCATCTTGTCCACGTCTTGCTTTAGGTATGGGTCCTAGATTATCGAACCATATTCTAGTAGCAGACCGACTATTGCGAGATAGGCATTTCGTTTGCAGGATGTTGGGCAGTGGCACAGATTTCTTCGAATAAAATTTTCTGGGCTAGATGATGTTTTCCTAATAATTAAAAATATACATTTACAGATAACACTAATTAATAATTATTTTTAAAAAAAATTAATATCATCTAACAGATTAAATAACTGAATGCTATTGGATTTAACTGAAAATTTTTGTGGGGCAAAGAAGAAAGCTAATAAAAATTATGTTTGCCTTAGATACTCATTCTAAAGTCTTTTTGTTTATAACCAGACCCTTTAGTTTTTGAAGGAGAAAAGTGTGAAGTGTACAATGGAATTCTTTGCCACTAAACATACACAATATACCAACCACCCAGGCCTTCAAAACTGCACTAAAAACATATCTTTTTAAATTATACTACCCTGACAGATTTCCCTCCTCTGACCAATAAATGATCTTGCTGGCTGCCGTCCATGGTTTATCTTGTAAAAGTTATGTGGTGGGGTGGGTGAATATACATTGCTGTTCTTTTTTTCATAAATGTATTTTATTTTAATGCCATAATTATGTCTCTATTTTTATGTTCAGCGCGGTGAGCCCAGCCCTAGGCTGGGGTACCGCGCTATATAAGACGTCTTATTATTATTATTATAACCCACTCATAAGCAGACCTCATAAAATGAAATGTCAGTGTAAACAGTATGGTACCAAAGAATATCAATGAGAGAATGATGGGGCTAAAAAAACTACTGCATAGTAGCACCAACTACTTCCGGTATCTTTGTTTGTGTAAGTCAGTAAACAATGGCTGAGGTGCATCAATTAAAATTTAGCTGGAATCAAAATTTTTAAAACATGACATTAAAATTTTATTTTAAGTAAGGTTAGTGGATATATTTAGTAATATTTAAAGCTTCTGTTAATGTATTCAAATCTTGTAGAGAATACAGTCGACAGTTGATCAACAATAACAATTTCGTTATCTCTTAACCCTAGCACCCAATTTATTCCTCTGAAATATTTCCACAAAAAAGTTGGCTTTAGAAAGAGTACATATGGTACAAAGAAAAGCAAACCTCATCTGACATATCCTGTGCCACTTTAATAAGAGATGTCATTTCTGTGCTTATCATGGTGTTTATCTGTGGATTAATGATACAGCTTTTTATCTATTTTTTTAATTGTGAACATGATAAGACTTTACAAATACAATAACTTTTAAAATCCAATCCATTATTGTGAAACACTTGCACATAAATTTTAATATAGGAATAAATCAAAGAAAACTGGGTGTAATATCTTGTGTAGCTAGGTGGCCACCAAATCTATCAGACGGTGCCACCAAATCTATTAGACGGTGCCATAAAATTTATTATTCAGGTTTCATAGACTTGACAAGAAAAGGGACCAATGCTAAGAAAATAAGTACCAGCATTTTTCGGATGTCTCGCAGGAGATTTCTTTTATTCTGAGCCTTATAATAAATAAATAAATTAAGCTTCAAAGCTTTTTTGTGCCAGGCTTCTAATTTTTTCATATTGTTGGCAGATTTTTTATAAAACTGTATACCAAAAAAAAAAAAAAACCACAAAAAAAAACTATTACAACTTGCCTCCATGTATCAGAGAAATAAATTGTTAGAAATTAGCAACCTTTAGAACAATAACCCAAACACAGGTAAACAGGATAATAAATATGTCAGATAACATCTGTATTTTTTTTAAAATGAGAAATTCTATTGATAACAATGCTGCCATTAGATTTTTTTTTTTTAGAAAATCCATAACGATTTGGCCTCCTGAGACTGAGAGTTAAAACAAATTTATAACAATCATTTCTTACCTTTGACACCTGCTGGAGAAGTTCTTGAAATCGGCTAGCTTGGGATCTCCTGGTGTAAAACGTAATTTAAAAAAATTTATTACTTTATGACATGAAACTGGAAAACTTTGATTTTCACAACTATTCTTTATCATCCCTCCACCCCCCCCCCCCCACACAAAAAAAATTAAAAATAATGTTTGATAAGGTAAATCCCCCAGAAACAAGGGCATGAGGTAGAGACTTAACAGAGGGATTGCAATTATGATATCAAAATAGAATAGATTTTACCAGTAAAGTTCTGTAAAAGTGGCAAACAGAAGACAAAATAAAAGCGGTTAAAATTTATTTTATTTTCTTTTGAATGTGGTCTGAGTGATTTTGAGAAGGAATTCCTACGAAAAGGTAATCTAATATCTAGTTTTCAACTTCATTTCTTTGCTATTGAATTGATGCACATTGGAGCTTTAAAAAGTTGGCTGTCATTTCAGGAATAATTACAAAGCTTACAATCCTTTCTTTACATAGTTGAAATATTTCAATTAATTTTTAAAAAAAAAAAGCAAAAAACATTTGAAAGAGCGATTCCTCAAAGACTAGACAAACCATACAAATTGAATTTTGTTTTTAAAAAATATGCCTCCATACATTGTGCAAACTTAACTCTCTAGCAGGGGTGGCCACCCTGCGGCCCGCCACAATAAATATTGTGGCCCGCCTGATGTATGAACTTATTTCTTCACTCATTTAGCCATTTTAAAAAATTCTTGGCATACCTGCACTTTTTTATGAGTATGAGCCATTTTGGTGTACCCCTTGTCAAACTCATGTTTGTGCCATATTGGTTAATTCATCAAGTTCTTTCACTCGCCGACTAGACAATATGTCATGATACGCATAAAAATATGTCACCAAGTCAAGCGTGGGAAGAACGTTCACTAACTACTTAATCTCTCAAACACATACTGCGCGTAATCAAACATAATATCCAGTTGCAACAATTATTATTGAACTCCCATACTGAACACCACTCTTTTACATTGATTTAAAAATAAAAATATTCAAATAAGTAATTTTGAATAAAAATTGTTACTATGTTAATGTTACAATTTAGTAACTACATAAATTAAAGGATTTATATAAACAAAGCTAGGTAACTAAGGTAAAGGGAACCTCAATTTCCTCTAGCATTTGAATTATAATCAAAGAGGCCTTTAAATTTAAAGCCATTTGGATTGGTCATCCCTGATCTAATTGATGAAAAAAAGGATGATAATTTTCTACTTAAAGATAGGCAAAAATAATAGAATTCTATTCAAAATTCCATAGATCATCAAAACAAAAACACAGATTTACAAGTTTTGCAATAGTTTTTTTTTTGAAACTGTGTAGTTTTATTATACCATTGTGCAAACATAAACAAACAGACAAATCTGCATTACTCGCACCTGCACATGTTAAGTGTTCATTACACTTAGACAATTTTTATTCAGAGATGCTTAACAAAAATTTTTTACTGACCTGTTTTGAGAGGATTCGGTTCCATACAATGTTACATCAGCATTGGCCACAAAAGCTGAACCGGGCGTTGGTGCCAAGTTGGTGTGGGAGGATGCTCTTGCACCTCCCACTGCACAATCACGGTCCGTAATGTTTACCAATGAGTTTACACAGATGGGAGTGTTAGTTTTACTGGAAGCTACAATGACAGAGACAGGGGGCGGATCACTCTGGGTGAGAACATGTCTGATCACTGATGATGCACCACCACCAGCTTTTGTTTTGTGGCTGCGGTTCAGTGCCTTTGAGCTGGCTGCTGGGTTCGGTACAGTTGAGGGGTTGGTCGCGCCATTGCCGGCGCTTGTTATCACAGGAGTCGTGGATGTCTGAGCCGCTTTCAGACAGTGGTGATTGACAGATGTCAGCAGGCTGGTCTTCTTCTTTCCAGATGCTGAAGGTTGCTTTGGAGCTTTAGGATGAGACAAAATTGATGGGACTTTACGACTTTTCTGCTGGTGAACACCACTTTCTCCTTCTGTGTCCTCCCCTGGCTGGATTGGTTTAGTTATACTTGTTTGCAGTTTCAATGTTTTAAATGATGACCTGTTTTCACTGGCTTGGTTTGAAACTTCAGAGGGGGATGATTCTGTATCCCTGTTGTGCTCTGCTTCACCTGGTGTTAAAATTTCTAGATCCTCTTTGTCTCCAGAGTGAGATGTGTCAACACCCTCCTCACATATCACCTCCATTTCTAAACTGACATAGCTGTCTTCTCCACCGTCCTCATCCTCATCTGTGGGCTCCTCATCATCATCATCGATGGTGATGATCTGAGAAGAACCAGATGTGTCCAGTGCTTTGACATTGTTAAGAGTCAGGCGCACATCTTTGAATCTGCCGGGCTTTCTGGCCCCATCCAAATTCAGAAGCCGATTTTCTGAGGCCGTTGCTGGGGTCAATGTCTTGTTTTTATCATCATTCCTTTGTTGGATGTTGGAAAAATCTGAGCTTTTAGATGCCTCTGCAGCCTTAAGGGTAGGTGTTAAATCTGTGGGTAAATTTACATTTTCTGAATCTGAAGTTTTTTTCTCCACCTTAGATTTATCATAATTGTTGGAAGAGGGTGGATTTTTTCCATCAGTTGGTAAGTTATTTTTATCAGATCCATGTGTCATGATCTCTCCAGAATTCTGGCTGTCATATCCTAACACTGAAATTGACCTACCTTCAACAGAGAGGACCTTCTCTGGAATAGAAGTCCTTTCTGGTAAGTCACTAGACTTTTTTAATGTGGTGTTTACTGGTTCATTACCGACAGCTGGGTTTTGGCCCATGCAGGGCAAACTCTTGGTTGTGGTTAAATTATCATCAGTTCTGTCTGTGCTAACAGTCATCAAAGTTTCCCCATCCACATTGTGGGGTGGTGTTGTGGTTGTAGATTCTAAGGTATTTGCCGGGGCCGAGGGTTTACTTGGCAATTTAACTGCATCCCCTTCCTCAGCAATATCCATTAGAAGTGCATCACTGGCAATGCTGTCATCATCATCATCATCATCATCAATTAGCCCATCCTCGTCCTCAGGATTGACAAGGTGGGCACCGTCCTCAACATCACTTCCAATGCTGTCTATACCCAGTTTGGCCTTACAAGTTTCAATAACCTTTTGCAAGCTCTCCTTGTATTTGGAGCCTGGGCTTACAGTTGCAGCTGTTGGCACTTGTTGGCCGGAAGGTGCAGGAAGAGGTGTTCTGGGAGGTGAAGTTGGATTCGATGGTGAATCGGAAGATTCCCCTGCAATGACAAATCCCTCTGCTTTATCGCCCATGCTAATTTCTGTTGCCACACTGTTGTCATGCCTAGAAGACATTGAGGCTGATGCCGACATGACGTCTACATGTTTAATGGATGGAGTGGTTTCTGCTGCTTCAGCACTTCTGGCATGAGCATCTCCACCCGGATTACAGTCCTTTTCTTGTGATTGTTGTCCAGGTTCCTGATGGCCCCTGTTCGCAGGTTCGGAAGAGATGGAGTCTTCACCTGAAACCTGTAAACTTTGACACAGTTTCTCATTTGAATTTGTCAGGTCCTGACATGGAAGGGAAACTATTTTTGACTTTGAATTATCAAGACCTTTCTTTTTAGAATTTACAACAGCGTCAACGACACCGGACTGAACACTTTTATCTACGCTTGCCAACTCTCTGTCTTTTTCAGGGGCTTTTGCACATGATTTCACCTCAGTCCGTCCCATAACATTATCCGAAACACTCGCAGAGTGGCTCAGGGGAGAAAAAGTTGAACCAATACTGGAAGGCGAAGAACAAGTACTTGTTTCGGTGGAACCATCTGCTCCTGTTAAGGTCTTGTCGTTGTGTTTTGAACTACTGTCTATGGCAGAGTCTTTACCTTTGGACTTTTCTTCCTGCTGCACTGATGTCTCTTTCACAACAAGATTGGTTTCTTCTTTGTTTTTTTCTTTCCCTGACAGCTTGTTAAATTCAGGGGTGTCAAGTGCAGACTGCCTCAACGTCAAAGACGTCTCTTTCTCTGACAGCTTGTTAACTTCAGGAGGGTCAGGTGCAGACTGCCTCAACGTCAAAGACGTCTCTTTCTCTGGCAGCTTGTTAACTTCAGGAGTGTCAGGTGCAGACTGCCTCAACGTCAAAGACGTCTCTTTCTCTGGCAGCTTGTTAACTTCAGGAGTGTCAGGTGCAGACTGCCTCAACGTCAAAGACGTCTCTTTTTCTGGCAGCTTGTTAACTTCAGGAGTGTCAGGTGTAGACTGCCTCAGTGACAAAGACGTCTCTTTCTCTAGCAGCTTGTTAACTGTAGGAGCGCCAGGTGTACATTGCCTCAATGTAACTGGGAGTGGCCGATTCTCAGGGAACGTTTGAACAACTTTAAGCACTGCAGAGAAATATAAAATCATCAACAGCCCAGGACTCCTTCACTTTAGGAATTTTTCTTTAAAATATCCAATTATAGAATTAGTAAGTTTACTTATGAACTTTTCTTTTGTCTGAAACCCTTTTTCTGTTCTGACAACATAAGTGTTTTATGATCAACCTCCCTACATCCTAACCAGCTTAAAATTCAGTACATTTGAATTGTGGAAAATTTGAATCTATTGTTTATGGTACACATTCCTTTAAATGGCAATCTTTAGGGTGTGTAACTAGGATGATAATTATAATACATTCTCCAAACAAAGGCCAGGAGGTAAAAATGCAATGTTGATCTATACATATTACACTAGCATTAAAAAAAATCATCTGAGTATATGACCAACCCCCAACACACACACAACACCCCCCCCCCCCACTTTACAAGGGCAGCTTAAATAAATTGAGCAAATTTGAACAATCACAAAGTTTTTTTCCCCAACCATCACAAAAGGCATTTCTATCAAACTGCAAAATATACCTGGCAAATTAGGCTTGAGGGCTGATGTTGACTGAGTGGGTCCAGGATCTATTTGTTGCTGACTCAATAGGAAAACTCCTTTAGGCATTGGTTTCAAATAGATTATCTGATAGGAAAGTCGACATGTTTAAAAGGGTTAAGATTAAAAAAATGTTCTTATTCTTCTGGAATTTTTCATCCGCTTATCATTTACTTGTTAAATTAATCATTTTGGCTGCTCTCTGGCTATTTTAGGCCCTGTCTGATCATGTCGTAAGAGGAAAAAAACTTCCAAGAAGACACAGCACACCAATGCTGACACTTAAGAGAGATGCACTGTGTAATTATGCTGCAAAAACATAGTACTGAACACTGAGATAGTAAAGACAGAATTTCACCCAGCGAATAAGAAGAAATGTCACGGATCTTAAGAGAACTTCTGAAAAGTGTTGTCACTTATTTGTCTTCACCTGTCTCTGCTGTGGTCCGGGCGCTGCCGTTGATTTCAGCACCACTGTCCCATGCTGCTGGTTCCCTTTCTTTAAGGTTATTGTGTTGTATTTAGTCTTTAGGGCCATTGCCGTTTTGCTTGCTGCTGACTGAACTTCGTTCATCTGGAAAATAAAGTCCAGTGTAATGTAGCGTTGAGGGGGTGGGTAGGAATTTTGGATATAGTGATGGTATGTAGTACCAAATGTCCTCAAAAATAGGTGGGGTGGGGGTAGTGTGTTAAGATTTAAGCTGTTGTATTTGAGGGTAACATGGCTAGATAGTAAGAGTGGGGCAGGTTTTTTTTTAACCTGAAGCAAGAGTTTTTAAAGCTTCTCAGACTTCTAATGAAACATTTATACATGGGGAAAACTTTTTAAACTGATAATGTCATCCACTTATCTATTTCTATCTGCAATAGATAACAACAAAGAGTGGGATGATATCCTAGCAAAGTGGGGTTTAATCTGATTAGAACAATGCTGACATGACACTACAGTCATTGGTTGTAGCTTTTGCAGTTTGTTTTCCTGGTAATTTTTGTATACAATGATAAAATATGTTTCAGCTTTATTTTAGCGAGGATCCCAAAATGGTTGTATTTCTTGTAGTTTTAAATATTATTTTTTACAAAACATAACATCCCTAAAAAAAAAGTTATATTTCATCTACATTTAAATCTACAACAAGTTTAGCTATGCTTGCGAAAGTATATTGTTGAGATAGTCAAAAAAAAAAAAAAATTGGTACCGTTTTCTTAAAATTTAATTTTGGCAGGTTTAAAATTCATTTTTAATTAAGATACCCATATTTAAATTCAAACTAAATTCTTCTTCCTGGTGGATGCAGATGACTCTGTGAAGACTGACTCAAATATTAGACTGCACCATGTTCTCTTTAAAAATCGATCCCTTACCTTTACACGGACTGCCACTTTAGATTTCATCTCTGACCTTCCCTTGTCCTTGTTCTGTTCTGATGAAGTTACACTGACGTTCTTCGTCTTCTTGTAAACATTGTCAATACTGAAAGGCGTCTTTGGGGGGGCGTATTCAAAAGATCCAAATTTTTCCCTAATAAATATGGTAAAACGTTTAACTATTGATAAGATGTGAGGGATATGAGTGCATGTGAAACCAAGTTTTAAAAAAAATTAGTATTTTTGTGCAACTTGGTCACTTAACGCCATCGAAATGAGAAATGCATTGGGGGTGAAAAATTTTAAAAGATGTCAGAGAATAATTTTTAAAGCTCTGCAGATAAATGGAGTAAATAAGTAGTAGAGACAAGAATTATCCATAATTTTTTCCCAGTATACATTAGCTAAACAGATGCTGTTATAGAAGAATAAATTTGTCTTTAGTTAAACCAAATTATCATCTATGAGATAAGAAACACAGAATGGTGGCCATATGAGCCTCAATAGAGCACACTGATTTAATGACCAGAATACAACTCTAGCAAAATATTCATACATACTTTCATAGATTTTACATACTCACTTTAATTTTTTAACATGAAGAGCTACCTCCTTCATTGCCAGATCCATCCCACCCCTCCCCTTTTTTACAACAACAGGTCCATTTCTGGACAGCATGAAGCAAGAAGCTACTGGTACCCAAGACCTGCAAATGAAAAGAAATACATTTTTTTTTTAATTTTGGAATCTGATTTTCAAAATTTTAATTTACAGAAATTTGGTTCACAATATGTTAAAAGCAACTTGAAAGATCTAGAAAAAAATGTCATGCAAAATTTAATAAATGTTGTATGTAACTAAAGATATTGAGAATAACACCTTAATCATCGTATACGCTAATTGATAGATCCAAGCTGACAGAGGCACTCAAGATGTTTTATTGTGTACAAATTTTTTGAATATTATGGCTAATTTATCCAAATTAATCTTGGTAACTCCTTCTCTTCCCCAACTCCTCTTGTTTATTTGTTTGTTTAGATCAGTCACTTGACAATCAAGAGGGCTTACATTTTACAAACAATCGATCAAACATTGTCTTATAATACAAGGATAAAAAAACAAATCAAGTAAAATATAAAACTACTTCACCTGTCATGAGCACCAAAGAATCTTACATCAACCTGTCCATTCACTTCCCTGAGAGCCTGGGTAAAAATGAAGATCAGAAATAAACAAATATTCCAGTAAAATTAATATATTTTTTTTAAAAATTAAGGTATTAGAAGTACTTCTAATGTGTCTTGCCAAAGAATCAAAATTTGGCCCAATTGGAAGTAAAAATGTTTGTCGCAATCTGAACTATCTTGTAGTCAGAGGCAGTCAGCGGTGAGCAGAACGGTGCAACAGTTATAAAATGATGTGCCAAATGTAAAGAAAAACAAGGAAAAAAACAACAATTTCTAGTTATTTTGGTGCACTATAATGGCATCTTGAAAAAAACCTAGAAAAGAAGCTAAGATTGCCGACTATGATGGCAAGTCACAAATTTAGAACAGACCTAAACTTAACACAGGTAATCGAGTAAATCTTCTGCAGCTTATGAACAATCCTATTCATGCTTAAATTTGAAAGAAGCTCTTCCCATTTATTTCAGCACTGTGAATATCAACATAATGGTAACATGTTTTTAAATCTTACCTTGGCTGGCCAAAATGGGTATCCCTTAAGCTTTGCCCATACAAGGCCATGAGGAACTCTCTATGGAAAGAAAAAAATGGTTTCATCCCAACAACAGTGGTTATTTAAGAATTTTATTTGTGAAAGTAAGGGAGTTACTAAAATGGGGAATTCTTTGATAGCTGTAGTTTAAAAATTGAAAGATTTTTTCCTAAAATAACTAATCTTTTGGGTCTATCCTGTCTTTTGGCCATCTAGGAGTCCTGTGGTGTGTGTGCCCCCCCCAATGGGGGTGGTTAATTTTTTTTACTTTGAATTAACTATATTACTTATTTATAAAGTAGCATGGAGGTTGGCGATGATGTGAGTGTATGTTTGGAGGCAGGGGTCTGCAACATGAAAAAGGAAGAAATAGAATGTTAAGAAATTAATTTTTTTGTCACAATTTATGTTTAGTTGAACTAAACCTATTCCCCCCCCCCCCCCTTCCCTTTTTCCCCCCCCGGTCACTGTTGCACCCTTCGCAAGATAAAGTAGATACCTGCACAAAAAACACAAAACAAACAGAACACAAATAATCAAGTCCACTTACACAAGGCTCACAAAACCAGTCACTGTTATTTTGTACACAAGAATGGTAGTAACAATCAGGACAGACCTCAATTTCACTCATCTGTGGACAAATTAATGATAACAACCATGTCATGGATCAATTTTATAATTTATGGCTTAAAAACTTCTTACTCTTTTAAAATCTCAGTTTATATGCAAGAACTCTCCAGCCAATGTCTGTTAGATTGATCAAGATCAAATATTCATTATTAGACTTTAAAAAAAAAAAAAAAGGCTCTTATAAAATTATTGAGTCCTGTAGGTTGTGAAGGTTCATCTACAATGTACTAGAATTGTACAAATAAAACTAAAATTAAACAAAGTTCGAAGCTGTAAGATGAAACAAAATATTAATAGAAAAAAACAACAACTAAATCTACAACATACAAAGCCTGTTCCTTACCTCGTGCTTGCAAACTTTCATTAATGACCTAGCCGCTGAAGTGATTTTGTTGGCAACTAAAAAGAAAAGAATCAATCATGTGAATGTGTTGGAAATCAGGCATTAGTAATCATGTGTCTGTGAGATGGACTTCAAATTATGATTTAGTCTGTGATGCTTAATACCAAAGGTATTACAGTGGTGTGATCATTTGATAGAAAGTTTAAAATCTTTCTTCACCATGTATGAGTGAGATATGAATAAATTTGTCTTAAGAGTTGGAATATTCAATTATGGCAAGAGCCTATCTCCCAGAAGATATCAAGGATTCCAATAAATGACTGTACCATCAATAATGATCAATAAATTGATCGTGGGCCCTTAAGATATAGAAGAAGAATAAACAAATATTAATTGTGCCACATACAGTTAAATAACGGCACTTTCCAAACTCTGACATAAGCTAAAGTATTATCTAAATGCAGCTATTCTCTGCACAAGTGTTTGGAACAAACTTAAAATTTAAAAACTAATTTAGCAGTAAATTATTCGATGTAAACAGCTACTCACACTTACTTCCATTGTAAACTGCTGAATTGTGGAAAATCCATTTAGCATCTGCCAAAAAAGCTTCAGTACATCCGTACAATTTTCTTCTGATATTCTGTAAAAATTGTTCAAAATAAACAGTATCAATTTTTTGCTTATTATTTATTACAAATGGAAATATACATTACAGGCAAGAAGACCTGCAAAAAAAAAAAAAAAAAAAATAATGGCTTGCTCTATAAAAAAAAAGAAAAAAATAAAAAAAAAAAAAAAAAATTAATTGTGGAAAAACCATTTAACATCTGACAAAAAAGCTTCAGTACATCCGTAAAATTTTCTTCTGATATTCTGTAAAAATTGTTCAAAATAAACAGTATCAATTTTTTGCTTATTATTTATTAAAAATGGAAATATACATTACAGGCAAGAAGACCTGCAAAAAAAAAAAAAAAAAGTTCTTGGCTTGCTCTATAAAGGAAAGGGCTAAATTGAACACATGAAAAGAAAGAATATCACATCAACTTTTGGCAATTTTCAGCTGTCTAAAATTTAATTATTTACCTTTTCTAGAATTCCGAGGCTCATAGGAAAGAAAACATAGTCTGTATAATTAGGAAAATGCAATGGATCAACGGGATGCTCAAATGTTGAAGCCTGATTTCAAAGAAATAAAAAAATACGAAATTTGATCACATATTGTTAAGAAACGGCATCAATAATTAAAAAAATTACAAAGAAATCCTCCTCCTGTAGTCTAGAGCAAAAAACAATACATTAATGTTTGCTATCCTAAAATGCCTTTTTCTTTTTGCTTAGAAAAATTATATCTTGCAAATTCCAATAGTTTAAGAATATTTTCTATTACATGTATATAATTTTATCAGTATCATGTCAATAAACTGTAATGTAATAAAGTGAAAAAATATAAAGGCTAGATAAGAACATTTTCCATAACCTACCCCTACGGTGCGCATGCGCTCCAGGGCGTACTTCAATAAAGTGCAAAGCTTGTCCAGGGTGATCATTGCCATTGCTTTTGATCTTGTATCTGTGCATTCAGCCTTCATAATTTTCTGTTTATTTTGAAATACAACAGGTAAGCAGCTCTTTCTTACGTCAAAACTCATTAAAACAAATCAATGAGAGGTCATCAAAGCACAGACTTGAGGTGTGCAAATCAAAGGACACAGACATGAGGTGTGCATTATCAAAGCACACTAACATGATGTGTCTAACATCAAAACACATAATTGAAAAGTGAATACATTTAAACAAATCAACAAGAGGGAGGTGCAGATAAAAAAAAAATCAGTTAAGAGTTTGCAAATCAAAAATCCTTATTTATATTTACAAAAATAATTTTATGGTTTGAAAATTTGCAAAATCTCAATCCGTACCTCACATTCAGGGCAAACCCAGTCTTTAGATACTTTGTTTTCCAGGCTGAGACACTTGGTGTGAAAGACACGAGGGCAAAGTTCGCAGCATATCACCTGGCCTTCCTTGTGGCAAGCCCAACAAAAGTAATCATTTTTGTTGTCCTGCAAAAAAAAAAACCAAAAAAAGGCCCACAGATGCAGACATTTATCTAACCAGGATGGGCACCCTGTATGGGCTACAAGCTATACAAAAAATATAATATAAAAAATAAAATCTACTTGAACATCATGAATTGAGGGTTATGGAAATGGTAATAAGGAAAATTTAGACCAGTTTATTTGAAAAAAAAATTTCAGCACTTTTAAAATATAGTTTGAAATATAGTTTGTTGACAATGCATTCCATTAAAAAAAATATAAAAAAATGATAGTACAAAATATAAATGCATGCAGTAACCGCCATTATGAACCTGTTGAACACAGGCAGTCACCCCCATTATGAAACTGTTGTACACTTTAAAAATTTGTCATTATGGTCAAGTAGAAATAGTTACACAAAATGTTTAGATCTTGCCCAAATTGGTCACATTTTTTAATAAAGTATATAGTATTTAAGCTTGAAAAAAAAAGAGTATTGATGCTTAGCAATAAGTTAATGGGAGTACAAAGTGGTGTGCCCATTTATCAGAACAAAATAAGTGTATATAACTCAACATTTTTAATTTAAATCAGTTGATTTAAAACAATGGAATATTCGTCACTCAACTGTTAATTAATATATTCTGTTCAACAGATTTGATCAGAAATCTACAAACAGAATAAAATTCCAAAATACAATTTGAGTCAACAGCTTGCCTTACCTCTCCTGTTCCATCATTCCGGCCTATTTTTCTCCGCTTCGGAGGAATGTCTGACTGTTCATCGTTTGACTTTTCCTCTGCAATTTTTCTTTTCTTTGCCGATGTGGGAGTGGAGTCTGGGAAAAGGTATATATTATTTTGTTTTACTGCTCGACCTTCATTTCTCAAAATACTAATGACGAAAAAAAATTTAGTTAGCCTATTGTAAGGAAAACAAATTTAGAAGAAAAGGTCATCAGAGTTAGGAACATTGCAAATACTGTGCATGGGTGAATTATGGAAGTCCTAAATATTTTTGAATACTATTTAACTTGTTCATTTATTCAAAAGTCATGAACCCTAAATTGTACCCAAGAGTCATAAAGGCGGTTAGAAAAAAATTGTTTTTGAAAAACCACCTCACACATGTTTTATTTAAGAATTCTCTGGGAATTTTGTAATTATCACTAATATGTGATATTTTTAATTTAATATTTAAAAACTGGTTGGATGGGTCTCGTTAGCCTTGGACGGCAACTCATCTAAATGTGAATTCAAACCGGGAGCCAGAATGATCAATAAATTGATTGTGGGCTTTCAAATATAGAAAAAAAAAATAAAAGAAATACAAAATAACCTTTGCTAATGGACTTCCGACCTTTGACAGGATTGTCAGATGACAAATTGGCTGTTATTGCGGTAAGCATACTCTCTTGAGAAGCTGTTGAAACTGTTGACGTCCCGGTCATAATGAGAGTCCCTGTTGAAAGACGAGTTCGAATCCCCTTGCCTGGTGGGGTGGCTGCTGGCTTAGTTTTAACTGAAACATTTTCTGAAATAAGCATGGAAAGATTTTGTGAAATATCTCTTGAGGGAAGCTCTGTTGCCTCATCCCTTTAAAAAAAACTTAGGATGTTCAGTTTCAGAAACAGGTTTAGTTATTTTTTATAAATGTCTGTGTAGTTTACAGATGGTGTAGGATTTTTTTTTAGAAATTGTGACATTTTCCTTTTTCGGGGGTCAAAATATAATACTTAATAGAGAGACAAATCTACAGTGGCAAACAATTTTTGTTCATCTGTCAGAATAAGAAATTGAAATCTTATGAAATAATCTGTTGAATATGTCTCAAATAAATCACCTTGTGAATGGCTATCGCCACTTTCTTTGACTTTCTTTTGAGCATCACCTGCAAAATAAGATAACAAATAAATTATTTTTGTAATTTGTGTTCCAATATCTACTGCTTGATGCCAATGCCACTGGCAACAGATATTTTGGATGAAGCAATTAAATTTAAGTAAAATAGAAAAAAGATTTTACTACTAACATCTATTGGTCTACGTAGCCTAATATACAAAACAAACTGCCCAGATAAATTGGATTTTACCCGCTAAATTGATTCTGATTAAAAAAAAAACCAATCTCACCTTCATTACTTTCTGTTTTGAGATCCCCTGAGCAAAGAATAAATATTTCATATAATAAGTTTTTCAAGGGCAATGTGCAATATAAAATAAAGAGTACAAATGACCTTCAAGTTTGCTAAGCAAATTTCGTCACAGAGTTTTAAAAAATGCAGGTTAAATTGCATTTGAATTTTTAAAATGGGCATATTTAAGTATTAAAATATCTAAAAACTGCATATAAATTTGTGGCTTTTGTTTGGATTTTCAATAAAGATCGGTGTGTGATAATATGGCTTAATAATAAACATAAAAACAAAATGTTTGTTTACTTAGTGCTTGGCATAAAATAGTTAAGGTAAGGTGTTTTACCTCCTACTGACTTTCTCTTTCCAATCTTTTCCGATCGTCTTTGCATTTCTGAATTGTTCTAAAAAAAAGGTTTTCAAAATGCTTCAATCTTTTAACAACAATTTTATTTTTATTTATGAGGAAAAAAAAATACTTTTTACATTATACTTTAAGATATGTCTTTCTGACTAACTCAAATATGAAAAGAAGAGTAATGTTTTCTTATTATTATGATAAAATTTCAATTTCTTTTAAATAAAATGTGACAGGAAATATGTTGCAAACATATGTTTACACTTGCAAACACTTAGTGAAAAGATTTAAAAAAATAATATGTTAGCCTTTAAACACCCAAAATATCCCACTCATAATAATGAGAAACCAATACAATTATGGTCATTTTGTAATTGCTATATGGAACAGCTATTTGTAGAAAAAATAATTTTAAAAGATATTTTGACTGTGACATACATCAGGTCTGTCTAATTTGAAATTAGACAAAGGTCTCGTTTTACACATGCAGAGATCATAACTATATGATCTCAACAATGTATGTTTTCTATATTTACTTTTAAAACGAAAATGATGTGCTTTTTTAAAATTAAGATTTTTAAGCTCTATTTAGTGTAATAATAATTTAATTTTCTAAAACAAATTCAACTGATGAATGTTCTATGACACCTGTATGTTGTAATTGCTATTACATTGAAATAATCATAAAAAGTATTTTACTGTATTTACAATAAATACATAATAAATTCATCACAATCAAATCTGATCATGTATTAGAAACACTTGGATGATGTTGTATTTTCAAATACTATTCAAACGCATGCCTGACCATAAAGTATATGCTACTACGGGCCACATGTGACAGAGGTCATCAGGTGGAGGAACCTGATATGCGTCATACCAATCTTTTTAGGGAACTTTGTATATCTTTGAAACTAGACTAGAAACTGATGTCATCTACTTTTGTCCCCTTTCTTAAAAAAAAAATGTTATAATAAATTGCACTGGAAAGTATAGTTGATGATAAGCTAAATCTTAACATGGTTCATAAAGGAAAATCCCTCAAACCCTGTAATTGTAATTAGGCCTAAGTATTTGATTTTTTTAAATTAGAAAGGATACGAACAAGAGTGAAAATGTATGAAGTTGTATGCAAAATGGGCATGGTGGAAAGAGATATCTATTTTTTTTCATTGAGGAAAAGCATTGAAAAAACTTACAATTGAGAGCTTAAAACAGAACAAAATAAAAATGTCCTTATGTGGTCAAAACATAACAGGAAAACATGATGTCAACCAAATACAATATCTAATATGATTACAGATCAAAACTATTATTCCAAATTGTGATTGTTTCATACAGAGTGCAAAATGTAATAGGTTTTTACCTAACTAAAATAGGTGTAAAATGATTCTACATCAACATATGTAATACTATACATTTAAATTTTTAGACTTTAAAAAAACGACTTCTTTTTAATCAAGAGATCATATAGTCTGGCTAGAATACTGCAACAAGGGTAGGAAAAATATGGCCTGTGGGCATTATTATTATTTAAAACATTATCATTAGGTGATTTTATCAATGAATCGGCTATTGTCATTAATCATTAAAATGCAAGTAACTTAACATAATTGCCTAGTATTATGGCCTAAATTTAAATATAACGAAACCTTTTTTTATCATGACCTATATTATCCTTGGACCTCAACTTATAAAACAGTGTAGGGTCTAGTCATGGAAAATTCTTTAGATTGCCCTCTTTACTTTGACTTTACTCTATCTATGCATCTTTGAATCTATGTAATGTTTGTTGGTAGGCTACTTGACCAGAAATAAACCATAACTTATAAACTTATAACTATAACCATATCAATATCAGTATCAGATACATACTATTTATCAATGATCTTCAGTTCAATATGCTTTTCTTTCATGTTTGTAGTTGTAGGTTCTGTCATTGGTCACTTTCACTTACCATTTTAATCCATCTCTGTAGACCTAAAACTCTAAAACTAAATGAAAATGTAATCTCACACTTGACACACACTCAGACCTGAAAAAGGAAAGAAAATAAACAATGAATTTTAATGACATTTGTTGATGAATGATAAGACTTGAGAGTTTATCAGAACAATGGATCATAAATAATTTATGTTTCGTTAATCTACCAGGTTGCCCAAGTTCACATATGGGCAAATTCATCTTGCCTTAGCCTTGATAGAGGAAGGGAGTATCACTATGTAACTATGTTCATGTTAGAAGCTCGGTTGTTGAAGGTAGGCTAAACGCCAAACGCCTATCCTATCTATTGTTTTTGTAAGGTTTACATCTAATACATTTACAACATTCGTACATTATATAACTAATATAATTCATACAATTTGGTAGATTTGCAATTTAAACGCTTTACATCTATTCAGAGGCGCATCGCTCAAAGTCTTAATTCAGGAGAAGCTAACCACCAACATGCATCCGTCCATCGAGTTTCCTCGGACATGTTTTTCTTTAGTCGAAGTACTGTGCCGTGAAAGGTCAAGGCCATTCTCCTCGCGGTGTGTTCTTTCAACACCGACAGACGGCTAGCTCCGCCCATTTCTGTCAAACAGGGTGGGATTAACAATTTTAGGGCGTCTTCCAATGAGCTTGCCACCAGGGCTATTTAAAAGGACAAAAAAATTTGCCAAACCACCCTCAAAAGCCGGACTCTAACTTGAGCCCCATTATTAATTATTATTGAAGGGGGCCAATGAAGGAAACTTGCCCAGTAAATCAGTAAACTTTCAAATAATGTCAGGTTTATTAAACAATGGAAGAGTTAATAATATAACGTTATTGCTTTGAATGCATTATTCACTTAACTTAGAGTCACTTTTAATCACTAATCCCAAGGACTACTTCTAATTGTAGTCACTCCCCTCCTCAGCTGCCTTTAATGCATATAGCCAGTGCTTTTTTTGTGCCGGTACGCACCGGTACGGCGTACCGGCACCTTTTTCAATGTGGGGAAAAAAATATTACTTTTTTTTGTATTGTAACGTTTATTATTAATGAATACGGTATACTAATAAAGTAATAATATAACAATTTAAGTTGGTTAATTATAAAATAAAATTGTTTTAGACATTTAGCATCTTTGCAGTTGTGATTTTGCTTGCATCGAGGTGCGAACTGGTAGTTCAAAGTTAGGCAATCCATCACTGAGTTCCGGCACCTATTTTTTTTTTACAAAAAAAGCACTGCATATAGCTATTATAGGCCTACCCTGTCTGGTAACGTTGTTCACATTCATTAGTAGTTTAGTAAAGATAGTTTTAGATGCCACAGCATTTTATCCCCCACGATTGGCATACATTATTTTTATATTTTTTCTTCCGGATTGTTTCGCTGGTCTGTGTACAGCAGTAGGTCAAGTCATCCATAAATGGCGCCATGGGTGGGTGGGGGGTGGGGGTCACATTGTTGTGACGAGGGGAGGTTTTAAGCATTGTGACGTCACATTAAAAAGAGGAACATTACTGAAAAAATATAATTAAATTACATAATTTTTTTTCACTCCTCTGAACCAGTGGCGTAGCGAGGGTGTTTGGCGCCCGGAGACAAGATTCGCGCCCGGGGAAAAGATCCATTTTATGCGCCCCTTTTTCTTTTTTTTTCAACTCTAAAACCCATTATTTTCATCAATAAAATAATATCAAAGCACATTTTGGCGCCCCTAACTAGCTGGCGCCCGGGGACATCTGCCCCCACCACGCTACGCCTCTGCTCTGAACGCAAGTCCCAAATTCAAAATAGGCTACAGGCTACTAGAAAAACGCATCGGATGAGCAGTTACTTTGGCAGTTCAATAATGTTTTACCAAGTTCGCGGTTAAAAGTGATAATTGTCCCTCAACAACTTCAATCACTATCCGAAAACGTGTTCTTTGTTGTTAAAGCGCCACTGGAATGCTCACAAGTAGCTTGGACACAGGCCATGGCGTATTTCACCTTGTTGAGTTTTGAAACCAATTCCGACACGCCATTGCCATTCGGTTCTCTAGGGAGGCTAGGAATGGTTGAACACTTTTGCAGCGCCGCATCACCTCTAAATTACCCCCCCCCCCCGGCATACATTAATTTGTAAAACAATTTTATAACATGAAAATAATTTAGTTATTGTAGTTTCTTTATTTTTTTTTATGTTACATTCGGTTCTCGAGGGAGGCTAGGAATGTTTGAACACTTTTGCAGCGCCGCATCACCTCTAAATTACCCCCCCCCCCGGCATACATTAATTTGTAAAACAATTTTATAACATGAAAATAATTTAGTTATTGTAGTTTCTTTATTTCTTATTATGTTTCTAGAAACAAGAGAAAATGACCAGTACACGTAATGTGCAAACAAAATTCACAAATTTAAAGAAAAAAAAAATCTGCTTCTAATCAAAACTCGTAGAAACTGATATTTTTTTAAAGGCATCAACAACTAGCAATGACAGCAAATACAATTTTCTAGGTCTTCCGCAAATCAGGGGGGGGGGGGGGGGGGGGGGGCTTTCATCTCTGGTTAAGATCAACTGTTTTAAGGAAATGTTTCTTAACAGGTGCAGTAATTCGATATCCATCGGAGCTTTTGTAAAGGACATTAGTGGAGAGAGGGATTTTTTATCGGGGTGGATAGGTGCAGAGATTTGTGACGTTTTATGCCTATATGATGGGCGGGGGTCAAACTTTTTTCGGCGATTTGTTACGATAAGGGAAGGGGTAAAAAATCTTCAAACTTTGCGTGACGTCCATACGTCATTATGGATTGCCTATAATACACAATCGACTAAATGAAGCCCCAACATATAATTTAGACATTCATAAATGAAGTCACGCATATAAAAAGGGGTGAGGTCACATATTTGTGATGAGGGTGTCTGTCTTTTATGATTTATGACGATTATTTTTTGGGGGGTGGGTGGGGGAAGGGGGTAAACTCTATGAGATAGTTTGCCGTAATGTATTGCGGGTCATTTTGAATGATGTTTGACGGAGCTTACCTAGACATGTCTCAAGATGATAGTCTATATAATGCTATAGTGATTAAGAGGAAATAATTTTTGTATTTAAGATTAAGATGCAATAGGTTCAGGGCCGGATTAAGCCATCTTGGTGCCCTAGGCACAAACCCACTGTCACAAATGACTGGGGCGGGGGTACAGGACAGAGCTCCATTGTTGTTAAGGTAACTTATAGGATGGAAGGAAACTGCTGTTAATGGGGTTAAGTTAAGGTTAATAGACTCTCACATCTTGATATAGTGGGGATTGTTTCTTTGGATAATAGTATGTTCGGGTTTTCCAGACTTCGCGTGATAGTTTTTGGGTTAACAATGAGAAGTTCTAATTGACCGGAAATTAGGGGGCAGGGGTGTGTTTATAGATAGCATTCCTGGACCACCTATGGGGGTAGAGAATCACACATAAGAGGGAGCTTTCACGGAGTTAAAGGAGTTGAGGGAGAGTGAACAGAGGTACAACGAGTTGAGGAAGAGGGAAAGGAGCGACAGTAGTTAGTTGAGGAAGATAGAGAAGAACTACGGATTAGTTGAGGAAGAGAGAGAAAAGAGCTACGATAGAACTGAGCAGTTGTTAGGGAATACTTGCTAGAGACCAGAAGACGACAGATGATAGAAGAAACTTATATCTTAGAAATAAACATACTTTCATTATCGTTGGACACCTGGAGTTTGAGTTGTTGCATTTCGTCCAAGTCTACGTTGTGCTTTTGTCTGTCTCAACGCCTAGACACCCACAATATAAATCACAGTGAGGAGCGGTCCTGTACTGACCACTGCTAAGTCAGTATAGTTGGTGATAAGTCAGGACCGGAGCCCTCCTCCGTAACAACCGTTCTGTGACACCCACATGGGTGCCTCCTACTGCCCCGGCCCCCCGATCCTCCACTGACTGCTGGTATGTTCAATATTATGCAAAAAAACTAACAAAGAAAAAAAATTGTAAAATGTAAACACACATGTTTGAACTACTGTCACTCATACAAAACCTACAATAAGGTATTTCTGTATTAAAATAAATAGTTAATTAATTTTGTAATAATAGTAATAGTAAACAAAAATAATGTAACTTTTTTGAAAGATAAGAAAGTCAGAGAGAGCACACATTTACATTTTAGAGTTCTTTTTTCTAGATTTACGTCTGGCAAAGTTTTTGAGTACATCATCAAAGTTAATTTTGCGCAACAAGTCTGCCTCAATCATCAGCAAAGATAAGGAATCAAGCCTTTCTTGTTTCTTTGTCGATCTACTTGGATGTCTTGTACGTTTCAACTGAGAAAAAGATCGCTCAGTTGAACATTTCGTAACCATTAATGTTAAAAATATGCGCAAGGCGATTTATACATTTGGAAAAGCACACTCGATGTTGTCTCTAACTATTAATTTGTAGAGTTCTGCATGACTGAACGTGTTGTTCTCAGATTTTGATGCACGAAACTTGTGGCGAATATATGAGTGGAACTGTTGTAGTTCAGTATATAAATTATTGTTCAGATCTTCAGGATAAGCATTTATTAGTCCTTCACAACACTGAGATGTTTGTGGTACATCGACGAAACAAGAAAATCGAACTGCTAGATCATTATATACCTGTCCTCGTCTACTCATCTCTGTTTCAAGTTTGTCAACAATGGTGTAGAAAGCAGATATACGAAATTTGTCTCTGACATTCTGAGATACCTCAGGGGGCATCACCCATCAATGACCACTGTCTTTCGTTTACGATTACGGTTCAAAGTTGACTTATAATCCACACCTGGTGTTATTTCTTTTGCAGCTTCTTCAAATCTTTCAAATTCATTCCTAGATTCATGCAAGGGATCTGCTACGGTAGTGAAGAATACAAATCAGCACACGTTTTCTAGTTCACGTGCTCATTTTGTAGAGCTTGACTGACCCTGTGAAAATGTTGTAACACTTCTTCCCAAAAGACAAGCATGAAAGCAAATTCTAATTCTTGCATCTTCTTGTTTTCTGCTTCTTTTCTGGTGTCCCCCTTCTGTGACTGGTCTTCCTGTAAACATTCTAACGCTTCTATAATCTGAGGATGAGACTTTAGAATGGCTTCAGTTGCAGCAGCCTGTGCTTCCCATCTGGTATCAGAAAGGGACTTTACCAGCTTTTCATTCACAAGGCATCCTTTCAGAATCTTCCATCTTTTGGTTGTGGGACCAAGATTACATTTGCGATTTGCTTATGTCATGCAATTACGCTACCGGGACAATATACACAATTTTCTTGAGGACTTGTGGTGCCCCCCAAATGCTTGGTGCCCTAGGTGTGTGCCTTGTTTGCCTAATGGTTAATCCAGCCCTGAATAGGTTTCTTACTTTAGTCTGCATATTTGAAGAGTAATTATATAATAAAAATAAAAATATAAGAGTTTTAATAAAAAATGCATACTTTAATTTAATTAATGTTATATAATATCTTGGCATGAAGTTTATGACTGTGTATGTTGGTAAAAGTATAAAAAGGTTCTATATTTAGACAATAATAAAAAATATAGCTAAAATAAATTTGTCCAAGGGCACCTAAATTTTCTTTGCATAAAACGTCAAATAACATTGTTCTGCCCCCAAGTCCGCTGATGAACGTACGTTTGGAAGATGATTTTTCGACTGAAGTGGCTATTCAAAAAAGCCACACAAGTAGAATGCCATAATATTTAAACACTAATAACGAAATAGGAAAAAAAAAAGTGTCCCATGATTAAGAACCGTCTCGTGGGCTTTGCAACTCATGTGGTTGCAGGGTTCTCCGATAATTAGGCTAAAGGGCCCATCATTGTTATGGTAGAGCTCCTTAAAATATTTTTAACTCACGAGATGTCATAACGGCCGATCATCATACGAATCACGAGCTTTATATTTGTTTAAGAGGAGATACTTTCCTATAATTTTTAGTGGTTCTCTTGAAAGTTCCTTAGTATCTGAAAATCAAGGTAAAATATAAATATGGAATCTATAATATAGTTATTTATATTTTGAATCACCCAGTAACGTAATTTCGAGCGGTTATGGGTCCGGCGAATCCTTCGCAACAAAAAGAAAGTTGGTGGAGGGGGAAGGGGTAAAAAACAAAGGGGACACACTAATTTTTTCCCCTTCACCATTATCCAATATTGGAACTAAAAATAAAGTCTCCATTCCTTATTTCCCCTTTTATTCAGACCAAGTTCGTAGAAATATAGGGACCAAAAAGAAAGTGAAACAAAATAACCCGCCAAAACTAGCGCAGGTGTCAGAAAAACAACTACAGATGGGCGTTTGTTTTACATAGTGATGACAGAAAATTAATCGTTTGAGCTCTTTTTAAGCTAAAAAAAATTAAAAAATTCAACAGAACAACAAATAAGCTGGCTTAAAAACTTATATGCATTAAAATAAAATGTTAGAAGTAAAAAAAAAACAACAAAAACAAACTCATCTGTCGAAAGTTGGAATTCATCATTCATGACAAGCAGGCTTTCTTAAAGTGAAAGATTAACTTTAAATGTGACATTAATGTTATGAATACCTCTGTCAGCAGACTCATTTCTATAATATCTTTACAGAGTTAAAATGTTAATTGCAAAGACTTATTGTAATGTCACCAAAGGCTTTTTTTATCTAATAGAAATTAGTCAGCACTAAAAATGAGCTGCAAATTAATGAAAATTGTTTGGATCTAAATTACTTAACTAGACTAGTGAATTAGACAAAAAAAAAGTTTCCAGTTCAAATATGCTGTTTGGAAATATAGGCTTCGTTTACTAATAGCATAGATGCTGAACTGAAAACAAAGGGTTGAACATACAGCCAGGAAGGGGAAGGGGAATGAACGGGGATGAAGGCGGCTGTCGCTCACTGCTGGCGCCATCATCAAGGGGCGCCAAAATAGTCTTTAAGAGAGGACCTTAAAAGTAAATTAAACGATAAAATCCCTTGTATTTCTATAATCTTTTTACTCGTCCGACCCGGTCGGCACTTTTTCTAAAAACAGAGGGGTGACAATTTCACGTTTCACCAGGGGCGCCGCTTTTTCTTGGCACGGTCCTGCTTTCAGCACAGTGACAATAAATGTTTAAAAAAAGATTTCAATTTCATAGAATTGATGGTAGTAAATAATGGACAACTATATGTTTCAATTTCAGAATTACACCCCCCCCCCCAAAAAAAAAAAATAAATAATTGAAGCTCATCAAATCCTATTTACTCTCAACTCTGGTGCAGAAGAGGCTTTGTCGATTATCATAGATATACACCAAACATGAACTAAGTGCGGAGCTTGATTACAACTATTTTGTTTAAATAGATAGAATATATGTTTAAATATTAACTTAAGTTAAGAGTTTAATTTTAATTTGCTTAATTTTTTTAGAAGCATTAACTACGAGCGAAAATAAAAGATCACCTTTAAAAAAAGGGGGCCCAAAAAACGAAAATTGGAAGTGGCCGCCAAAAATGGGCTCTGCCTAGGCTCTCAAATTTGAAAAAAACAAAAATAATTTAGCTACTAGTTTAGTATGTATGTAGCATCATATTCATAAGATCTGCTCTTTCAGACGGGATATTATAATATTATATTAGATCATTGCTAATAACAAGACTATACATTTAAAATAAAAAAAAAATAAAAAAAAAATTAAAATCATCGGTAGGGAGTTAATTAATTTGAATAAAGAAACTGAATCAATATAAAAAAATAAATGAAAATATATGATGCAAGTTGAAGTATAGTGCATGCTTTATTTGAACACACCCACAAAAAAAAAAAAAAAAAAAAAAAAAAAAAAAAAAAAAAAATAGAGAGAAAATTGAAATATAGTGCATTCTTTTTTTTCACCCCCCCCCCCCCCAACAAATAAAAAAAAAAGAAAAAAAAAAAGCCAACACAAGAGCCGCTATTATCAACCAAGCGTGCTCGTTTCATAAGTTGAAACTATAAAGAAACATATGTTGAATAAAATGCACTAATTCTTTTAAAATGATGGTAGAAATTGATAATTAAAATGAGAACTTAAAAAAAAAAAGTTATTTTGATTGAAAAATGAAAAAATAATAATTTCTGGTAGCCTAATTTCTTTATTGACCACGGCTTTTAAGGATAATCGCGGAAACTTTGTATTGGTAAAATAGTGAGGTCGATTTGATTCTTTAGTTGTCCACATCAGCGTGAAAAGCAGAAGGATGGCACCTAGACGCACCAAAAGTTCAAAGAATCCACCAATTTTCAGCCATGAATTCTTCATACAAAATCATGCAGATATTGTATCATGCATTGCTATGGTTTTTATTATCGGCCTTATGTTCCAGGTAATATTAATGTTTTGTTTAACTTAGTCTTAGTAGCTTTAATCCGTTGCGATGCAGGTTGCACAGCTGTTAACTACTACCTCACACTGTAGATCATGATGTTGTTACTGCCAATTACGGTTACGTATGTTTTACTTGAATAACTCAGAAGTTGTCATTTAGCTCATATGGTAATGTCAGAGATGTCCAGTTTAGAAAGCTTAGGGTAATCTTGCAGTTCAGGTGCATATATTATTTCGGCTAATGATCATTCGAGATGCCACGACTTATTTTCCAGCGAGTGACTTCCCTTTGTTTATTTTTACTAAATTGTTTTAGGGATCGATTTAGGGTTCAGGTACAGAGGGATCGATTTAGTGTTTAAGGTTAGGCATAGGGATCGATTTAGGGTTCAGGTTAGGCATAGGGATATATGACTTCAAGCAAGATGGCGGCCACTGATAAAATAGTGGCATTTTCAGTGATCGTTTGCGTAGTATTAGTAATCACTAACTCTAAATTGTACAGCACTAACTTTTCCCAATAGTTGTACATGCACATTCTGCGCATGCCCTAAAATGACGCATAAACCTTTGACATGCTTTTGTTGACCTCGGTAAATAACCTCGGGCATCAAAATTTGCATAAATAAGCTGTGTTTTACGTCACCATTGTCCTGTTGATTGGTTTCTGCACACAATACTATGGCGCTGCGATCCCAAGCTGTTGGACAAAAAGCGACCGGTAAGTGAATAAAAGTTTAAATACATTTTTTTTGTAGAAATGATATCACTAAAAGAACATACACTACCATATTCTAATATATTAATTGATTTTTATAGCTTAATATAGTTAACGAGGCTGCGCTCAAGTAACCGCAAAAAACCCCCTAAATTGGGTAACAAAACCATCAAATTCTCTTTTCTCCCATTTTCCGCCTAGGGACGCGGTCCAGTTATCGATAGTCATGGACATTTAATGAGCGTTTTGGAAATTTGATATTATTCAATACTTATAACAATTAATCAAAGCAGATTTTAAAATAAGAAGTGTCTACATGTCCGACGACCAGAAGAATAATTCTCAATATTCGTCCGGCGACCAGGTCACATGACCGCCGTAACAAAGTTGGGCCAGATACCTATCTGTCAAGTATGTCACGTGACCGCTAATATTCAATCATAAAACTGGTGTCGGAGATGCATGGGTGGTGATGAGTATACACTTCATTTCAAGAAACAAGTGGGGGGTGTCAAGGTGTTAGAATCCCTGAGAGTCTGTGTTGTGCCTGAAGTGTATTGGAGTATAAGCGTAGGGATAATTAAGGGAAAGGGTGTGGTACGGTAGTGTGTGCAGTTGGTCAGTAGAGCAGGGGAGAGCGAGTGGGTAGGACGCTGACCTTATCAGTGTTAGTGTTATTGTCATTAGTAGTGTGGTGATCCATGTAGTATGTGTGGTTCTTTGGCTAAGCTTGTTAGCAGAACCCACATTACTTATGGGAAGTGAAATAAAAGTTAGAACACATAACTGAGAAGAACTTTTGTGTTAAGTCTTTGACTTTGTGTACTCATTGTGTACAGTGTGTATCAGTATCAAATACCCCTAGACAACGAAGCACACAAGCTAAATTCGTGACCGGGGGGGGGGGGGGGAGGCAATGCATAAAAAAAAATTGTATCAATGTTATCCGCCTTTCGGGACTCCATCTCCGGGTTTGATTTCAGAGTTTCCTTCTCTTAGATGAGTTGCCATCCAAGGTTAACGAGTCCCATCTACCCGGGGTGCTGGTGGTGTTTTTGCTCTAGCTGGAATTGAACTCCAGACCACCAACTTGAGATTTGCTCAGTTTAGAGCACTCGGCCACCCAGCACCCTAAATATAATATAAAATTGAAATATAAATGTTATTTTCATTATAATTATACTAAACATATAATAATATAGAGTTATAGTTATAAGAGTAGTTATTAAATGAAAATGGTCTGCAAATTTTGTTAATTTTATTTTGTTTTACATTTTTTTCCTTTTCAGTTTGTAATTTCTAGAAATGTCAGTGACTATTGAAGATTATAACCTGTAACTGGCAAGCTTTGCCCAGGATGCAACTGCAAGTGTGAAAAGAAATGGTTATCTATCTGTATAGTTGCGAACCGAACAAGACAGAGAGCATGAAAGCGGCTGTTTCTGCTCTTAGAGGCCTTCCAACGAGAGGATAGCTACTATGTTTCTAACAAGGCTGCAATACGTGTATATCAATATGCAGACCTGTTTACACTCAAACTCTTAAAATCTTACATCATCATCACAAAATCGTTCAACACATTATCTTAACCCATTATAGGGCAGAGGTACTTCCTCTTGCTAGTCCTAAAAGGGCAACATTTTTCCGGATTTTTAGTAAGATTTAGGGTTATGTTAGTAAAAAAAATCAAATCTAAGGTGTTGTTCAACAAATGTTTGTGAAATAAAAAGCAAAATAAAGGAAAATGAATGCAGATTTATAATTTTACTCACATGTTGCCATTAATCCTCATATGAACACAAATATTTGCAAAAAAAGATAACATATTGTTTGTGATTTTGAGTCATCTATTTACTATTTACAAACACTGCCACAAAATCAAAGTTTGAAAAATTCAACACTGCTTACTACGCTGATTTCACTAATATTACTAATAATATTAATATCTAGTTCCAATTTACAGTCAATTCGTGCACTTCAATGTCACTTAAATTGAATCCAGCGAAATCTCCGCTATCACTTGAATATAATCGGCAAAATCCATTTCGAAATTTTTTTTTTTAAACCCCTAAAAAAAAAAAAAAACCATTAAAAAATTGTAAATGGAAAAAACGGAAAAATCCATTTCGAAATTTTTTTTTTTAAACCCCTAAAAAAAAAAATTTATTAAATAATTGTAACTGGCGCCCACTCTATCTAGCTATCGGAAAAACCAGATGTAAACAATACAAAGTCTCGCAAAGACTCGGGGGGGGGTCATGAGTTTACAACTCTATGTCGTCACGGATGCTTTTGGCTGTTTTGCCCATTCAGTACTAAAGACATTTTTGGCCGTTTTGCCCGGTAAAGGGTTAGTAAAAAAACAACATACAAAATATGTATACATCTCAAAATCATACATGATACGCCAAAATTGTAAGAGTAAACAGGTCTGCTTATGTGTCAAGATTGTATAAAAAGCTTTCTATTTTTAAAAAGGAATTGAAACTATTTGGAATAAAACCCAAAATCTTTTGTTGCAGCCAGTTGTAGTGCCGGTTAACAAGAAGAAGAAATTGTTGCCTTCCAGCAGTAGTGATGCTACAACTATTGTAACACACAATGATTGTTTCCTTCCACAGGTAATTGAGCATCAGGCAATACCAAGGACTCAAGATGTACCGGTAACCAAAGTTATAATTAAAACAGCATTGATTAAATATTTGTTGGGTATCATTACTTTAAATATATGAACCTCTGAACTTTTCTTTTGGAATACATTTGAAAAAAATATTTTTTTCTTTTCAGAATATTTTAAATTCTTCATCTCATACAGGCAAATGTTAATATTATTAGTATTAGTTTAACATTTATTGTTTATAATTTATTTACAAACTAACTGCACGATTTTTTTGTCTGTTTTGACGCTATGTTTGAATAATTTATTAATAGAATTTCTAAATTTCTTTTCAGGACGTTATATTTGAATAATTTATTAATAACATTTCTATATTTCTTTTCAGAATCCATTCAAATAAGTAGTTGCACTGCTTTATTTCATGTAATTAGTTTATTGTATGGACCTTAGATTTAGAAAAAAATTAAATTAAAATTTAAATAATTTTTTCTTTTCAGGTATTTTCAAGTTCCCTACAGAACATAAAATAACTATAATTTAAATTTTATTTGATGTGGTTATCACTTAAAATGGAATAGTCCTGAATTTTTTGTTTGTTTTTCATGTAAAAAAAATAAATATTACCAAAAAAGGAATTTTTAACCCTTTCTCTTCAAAAACATTTTTAAAAATAAATATTTATTATATAATGTGAAACTTTTGTTGTTCATTGTGTTTTATATGACATTGAGAATATCTACTGAAAATGTGGTACCATTACCTTAAAAATAAAAAAAAGTTATGGGTCAAAAGGTAAAAAAGTTTTTTGGTCAAATATATAGCTTATATAAAGGGTGTTAAAAATTTGACCAAAAAACTCATAACTCTAGTTCTATAAAAGATAGAAAGATGAAATTGGTGTTTTTATAAAGCTTTTAGCTAGCCCTTTAAAATGATGTATCATTCATGGCAATCGGACAATATTTAAATTTTGTATCAAAGTACCTACTTTTTTACAGGCCCCATAATTTAGATGTTAGCTGAAGGGCTTTTAAAGATGTTCATTTCCGAAAGCCATCATGAGCGACGCCATGTATATTGGCTGGTTTTAGGAAAAATTAAAATTATGAGTTAATTACCCTTCAGTATCGGCTTTTGAATATGGATAATCAAGTGTATGTGTACTAAGTTTGATCTTGTTTCATTCACCCATGCCCAAACAGGAGCCATTGTTTGGAATTATATTTATACACCCCATATAAGAAAAAAAATTTGGGCCCCCATAAAATAACGGAACATCTAATTAAGTTCAAAATTTTGAACCAAATTTTTTCTTACAAACCCAACAATAATATTTTAAATATTTTTTAACCCCAACCTCTCACTTCTAATACCCGGGTCTGAATAGACACTTTGTAATTTTTTGGGACCCACTGAACTGCCAACTCAACAAATTCAGGGTCTATATAATAGCCTATGTATAAAATTATAATCTGACTTATTTTGAGCCTAGGGTTATTATATTTGGAGTTATATTTTCATGCAACATATAAATTGGCATTGGACTTTGTGCTTCCAATTCCCAAAAAGTGGTTTAAGGAATGCTAAAAGAGTATTATCTAACTTTTTTGCCACCGCATTCTTTAAGTCTATACTGGGATTAAAAATTAACCAAATTTAGGCTAGAGCAAGATATTTGGACATCCCCTTCTCCATCCCTTTTAATTAATTTTTAACTTATGTTTTGCTATTTGGACTTGTAAGTAATTTTAATTTTGGCCTAATGTGACAATGAAAGTTGTCCAAGACAATGTTAATTAATATTAAAAAAATTCCCCCAGGTTATGTTGCTAAAATGTACATCAAACTAGTTTGTGACTGTACAGTTAGTATGATGTGCACCATGGTCTTTTAGAATTATCTCTAAAATATTTTCCCCTACAGGCCACCTCGCCTGTTGCCAGCTTGTTCATCACCATGCAGAACAATCTTACAGTAAATGGTGAGGCTTCCATAAAAATAAACATTGATACTATTTTTAGATTAAATTAATTTCTTTAATGTTATATTTTCTAAATCATAATCATCACATTAATTTTAATATTTTGTAAGTTAAAATTATATTGATTATGTTGTACTGAACAAACTATTTCATAATTATTTTTTTTTATTGAAAAGCATTTTTAACTGCACCTGATAAGTGGTTCAATCTGGTTTTGTAAAATGAGCCTTTTGGGTTCTTTGGCTCTTTAAAATTGAGTTGTGACTCATAAAATGTTGGGAACCTGTGATTTATGTATTACAAAAACATTTGCCATGTAATACAAAAAATTAAAAAATTCTGAAATTTATATGGGATGAAAATGTGTTATCATTTTTATGATGCTATTTTGATAACACGATCCAGACTCGGCAAATGTGGAACATATAGTCTACTCCACTGGAAGCAAAGACTTGTTCACAGTTTTCTTCTACTTTCTTATCTGCATTGTCATCCATGCTGTACTTCAGGAGTATGTTCTTGATGTGAGTTAACCTTTCTCCTTTTATATTATATGTATTTATGGATCCTTAATAACAGTTTTTAAAAACCCTTTTTGTGTCCATCTATATGTCTTTGTATATAAAGATCTCAACAAAATATTGAGGCAACATACATTTTAATTTTTCTTTTTTTAGTTATGGCGTTTGAAGATCAAGGTTATTCCACTATTTAGTTGTTGAATAAAAAGGTTTAATAAAAAGGAATTGGTTACACTGAGAAAATGATCAGTTACCTGTATGCTCTCTATCATGTAATCAAAAGTTGTAATTGAAACACAGAATAAAAAAAATACACTGAGAAAGTAGATAGAGGCAAGAGGTTACACAATTTTATTATTAGTAATATATTAATAAATATTACATATAATTCAAATTAAAATATAAATAAGTCTGTTATTCATTGCGTTGAGTTTGACATAATTTGTAATTGCTAAGGAAGTAAAGCTGATTATTTCTTCTAAGGGAAATGAACATTAATGAACAAGCTTTAAAGATAGCCATCCAGATATACAAGATGAAAGTTAAAATTACATGAAATATCACTTCTATTTTTCTTAACATAAGAATGATCTCACTTACCTCCCTGTATTTTTAATATTTATGGTTAAGCTCCCTTACACCTTATTTAATATTTTCCTGGGTATCTGGTAATGCCATCCATTCACAATTATTCCCCTTTGATATGATCTGTTGACAAAATAATTGTATCATTCTATTTGGTAGGGATCAGCTGTTATAATACTAATTACTCTTTTTATTTCAGAAACTTAATAGAAAAATGCATTTGTCAAAGACCAAGCACAGTAAATTTAACGAGTCAGGACAGTTGCTTATTTTCTTCCTTGTGTCTGCAATTTGGGGTGCAGACATTTTATTTAGGGTGAGAGAGGATGCATTTTTTTTTATAAAGAAATTCCTTTTAAGGAATAGCTATAAGAAAACTGATACAAACTTTTAATTGTTGTAGCTAGAGTTTAGACTATCTTTATTTTCTTACACACTATATGAAATTCAAATGTTTCTGTTGCCGCTATAATTTTTGTGGACTGGAATTTAAAAATAATAGTATAAATATAAAAGAGCTACCAAAAGTATGCGCATGATTTTGCTAATGTTCTATTCCAGATTTTTCTTTTTGATTTAAAGAAGCAAAAATAACAATATCAGAACTTTTTTATTTAAAATGTTATTTTTATTTATTTAAATTGTATTAATTGAGGATATTTAAGTTATTTGTTCTTTTACTTCAAAGGAAAATTTTGTGTCCAGCGTGAATCACCTTTGGGAAGGATATCCTCATACTCAACTGCCGTATGTAATAATATGCGTTCTAAATTAATTTTCAAATTGAAATCCAATTTGTCAGTGGTGTCTCAATTGAATGCTAAGTTCATTTTTATTTTATTATTTGATATATGTTTTCAGCTTTGTTGTTGGACTTATTAAAATGGTAATGTTTCAAATATATGTTATAATGGACATGTAGTATAAATGTGGTTACTTTATGTTTTGGTTTCAGGTTCATTGTGAAGTTCTTCTTCATTACACAATTGGCTTACTGGGTGCACAACTACCCTGAACTCTACTTCCAAAAAATCAGAAAGGTACTGATTTAAATTCTTGAAGCCTAATGAAAGAAAGTAGAAACTTAATGTTATTGAAACAGTTTGAATACAGTAGAACTGATCATGTCATTTAATCAATGTAACTTGTGTTGTGATTTATTTAATGAGGATCTGTGCAAATCCACAGGAGGAGATGTTTGGTAGGCTGCAATATACCACTATTTATCTCATCTTCATAGCTGCTGCCTACTTCCTGAAGTAAGTACTTCCATACACAAACAACATAGTTAATGTTCTTTAAAAACATAGAGTTACTCTTTTTTTTTTGAATTAATATATATCAATTAGTTTTAACGGGAGACTCTTGAAAAATGGAGAAAAAAAATTGTTGATATTTTTTTTGAAATTCTAAAAGAAATAATTTTAATTATACTTTGAAGTTTTTGTGTGCATTTTTCTCACTAGTGTATTTGTTGTTAATTTAGAGCATACTTGGGAAGATATCTCCATCATTTACAGTCCTAAAGGTTTCAAATTTGATGAGGTTATTTCTAATAATATATGTGTTTACAATATGACATGTGCATTTTGTGAAACCTTTATTCTTTGAATTTGATTTATTTCTACTAAGGTGGGATAATTTATTTTGTCCCTGCTGGAATCATGCTGATTAAAAAAAAAAAAGAGTCCTAAAAAATTAACCATTAGAGATATTTGAAAATCCTCTTGTAGAACAATAGAATTGAATTTTGCAGACTACACTAAAAAATGTGAAAATCTGTCTGCTAGTTTTCATTGTAGGTTCTGCACTGTAAAGTGTTAAAATGCAAAAAAATATAATTTTATTCTTCTAATCAAGTTAAATATCGCTATACAATGTCCATGTTAAATTGAGTAAAGCTGAAATATGAATAACTTTTTAAAATCACATGAGACTCCCCTTAAATCACCACTGTGCTGTAGCATATGATTTAATTTGGGTGCAAAGTCATAGACTCGACCCAAAGCAGAATCTTAAATGCCTGAAGGTACAGAACAAAAATTATTAAAGTTATGTGAAATCTTGCACTTACTTAAAATGCCAGATGGTGTTTTCACAAAACTAAAACACTTGTTTTACGATTTTGTGCATGTTGAAATTCTTTTGTAAGTGTTGGCAGATTTACTATTAAGTTCTGCATGTCAATATTGTTTTTCCAAATTATCTGGAACCTTGACTGCTGTTTTATTTACTCTCTTCTTTATTTGATTGCAGTTTTAACCGTGTAGCTCTGTGTGTGCTTGTACTGCACTATACTGTTGAGGCGCTCTACCATTTGGCTTTGCTATGCCACTTTTCAGAAAAGCAAGAAGCTGCTAAATCCATGTGAGTTGGCTTACTGACTCCCCTACCCCTTTAAACTGTTATCCAAGATTGGAGGTTTTGATAAAATTATGTGATTGCATTACAATATTGTAACTCATAATATGCAACAGTAACTTAATTACATTGCATTTCTAAGTTAAACAACTCCTAAAAGTTTTTTTATATAAATCCTTTATAAAATGTAATACTGAGCAATGAGGGGTGGGGCTGAAAATTTGACAAAACATGCATACAAGTTATACACTTTATAAGAGTCCTAATCTGTGGGAATTGGCCCAAGGCCCCACCCCCTTATGTTTTTATTTCTTATTAAAGAAACCCCCTCAAAAATGGTATTAACGTCCCTAGTTCTATAGTACATTCTTTTGTTATGTTCTATAGTACATTCTTTTGTTATGTTCTATAATACATTCTTGTGTTGTAATGTTCTCTATGTGTAAATAGTAAAGTTTGATCTTGTTTTCACAGTTTTATGGTTTTTGATGTGTTGTTTGTCCTGGTGCGGCTTGGGACCATCACTTTAGCTGTTCTAACATTCTGGTAAATAGTTTATATCACTTGATCCAGTCCACTTAACCAAAATGAATTCCTTGTTTATTTGCTTGAAAATTATTTATTCTGTTAGAATCCATAGGTTTAAGCTATTTGCTTGGGCTCAAGGACTTTTCAGTGTTAGTGTATGATGAAGTGTTAAATATAATCTTTTAAAGTCATAGACAAATTTCAAGTTTATCCTGTTATTTCATATTGTTTTTACATAGCTTGTAAAGGGGCTTTAAAACTGGCATCTGCAAAAAGGAGCTATTTCAGGGTAATCTGTGAAACTGGATAGTTTCAAAAGTGCATTTTTATAGTTCGCATCAAGAATATTATTTTAACTCCTTAATCTTATCTAGGAAAGAATTAAGAACTTTGAATTTGTAACAAAAATGGTTTAGGATTTTTGTCCACATAATTGTTTTTTTTGTGTGCTTTAGGTATGGCCTAGCTCAGTCCAATAACTCAGTTATAGATGTGGCTGCCGGAAATTACAACACCTATTTAGTGAGGTATTTCCAAATAATGTTACAGTTGATTACCTTTATGTAATTGTAATTTAAAAAATTGGGTTCTGGGTGGCCGAGTGGTCTAAACTGAGCAAATCCGAGTTTGTGGTCTGGTGTTCAAAGCCCAGTCAAGCAACAACATCACCAGAACCCCGGGTAGATGGGACTCGTTAACCTTGGTTGGCAAATCATCTAAGAGAAGGAAATTCTGAATTCAAACTCGGAGATGGAGTCCCAAAGGCGGATAACATTGGTATAATGAAACTTTCCAACAACTCCTGAGACGCCACTGGTGCCAAGCTGTATCATCCAAATGAGGTTCCCTTGGGTTATCCAGCGGTGTGGAGAGAGGCGATTTGCTGTTCGGAACCAGCTTATAATCCTTGAAAATAATCCCAGGCCTTGTGGAGTTCATCCTATTGTGACTGACGGATGCCAGAAAAAAATTTAAAAAAATATATTTGGCAACACATTTTTTTGTTTTAATTTTGAGTTAAACAATATTCTGGGGATGTATATCCTAATATAAGAATCGGAAGGAAAAGACTGCACACATTTCTTACATTTATCAGAAAAAAATTGTAACTTATCTTCACATTATTATTATGTTGGTTTACAAGCATATTACAAAGTTTTATTATTTCATATGAAAAATTTAAAACACAAGTTAGTTAGGGATTAAAAAACTCACCTCAATGTATAATTGGTCTTATTTGAGCCTATTGTATTTTCCCCATACATATTGAGATTCAATGTTTTGCTTTTTTTATTTTTCCAGAATCAACTGTTTGGCAGCAATTGGATTGAGTCAAGCTGGACTTATGTGGAACTTCATAACTTTCCACCTGCGTAAACTAAGAGAGAAATCTCCTGTCAGCAAGAAAATTCGCTCACCAAGTAAAAAGAGAGCCGGTCCCAAAAGTGAGTAGAGAAATGAAGTCCGTCGCTCATGATTACCATTTGTCGTCTGCATTGATATAGTTGTACTCTACCCCAGGTAACTTGTGAGGCCATCATCTTCTTTTTTTATATTTATTTTTAATTTTGTTTCAAAATTATGGTTTAGGTTTACCAAGATAACTTAAGTGTTGGTTGATGGGAAATAGAATATTCCAGATTATGGCTGCTTGTGTCACTAATAAAGTCATAGTTTTTTTGCATGTCAAGAGTGTCTGTAGATTCCTTTAAAACCAACACTCTGAAGTGCCTGCTTCATCATTTCATATTTCCTTGCAAATCAAGTAATATTTTGCTTTGGCTTTTAGTTTCTCTCTTTCTTAGGGTGTGAACTGAGTGCATTCGTTTTCCTCTCCGCTTCGTGATGGTCCCAGCTTGACCTTTGCTCTCAGTTGCCGAATCACCGGAAGAGTCTCATATTTCAATCTAGGAAACGGAGTGCACCCCTCTCGCGTTCCTCTCGCGAGAGGGGTGCACTCCGTTTCCTAGATTGAAATATGAGACTCTTCCGGTGATTCGGCAACTGAGAGCAAAGGTCAAGCTGGGACCATCACGAAGCGGANATTTTTTTTCACAGAGGAAAGGGAAGGAAATCATATAATGCTTAATTATAATTTTTTGCTTCTTTCCCTTTTGAATTAAAAAAAAAAAAAAAAAAAGTGCATTTGTCCTGATTATTTTTAAAATCACTAAATTTGTTTTCCTAATTTAAAAATTATAAATATTATAAAGTAAGTGATCACATTTTTCTCTACAAGAAATATTTATTTGACTTAAGTTGATTAACAAAATAAGCTAAAAATCTGCCACAGTTAAATAATTATTTGCTTGTAAGTTTACATAGTTTGAGTTAATATTAATATGATTATTACTGCTTATTGCAATGTCTGTAATTGCATTAAAAATAAATAAATAAATAAAATACTTATTTTATTAACTTTTGTACTCAACATTCATCTAGACCAGTGGTTCTCAAGTGAGTAGTACAAAACACCCCCACCCCCTTGTGTGTTTGGAGAGCTCGGGGGTGGGGGGGGGGGCGACAAGTGGAGTTTGGGGGGGCGCTGGGACTCACAAAGGGGCCATTGATGATTAATATCAAGTATATATATTTTTAATTAAAATTATACATACAAAATAAAGATGACATGATTTTTGAAAGCCAAAAATAAATACAACTGAAGGGGATTGATATAAGACTCATATAGTATTACAATGTTTTCACATCATAACCAGACAAGAGTTAAGTCCTATGATCTGTTAAACAGAAATACTAGAAACATAAAAAACAATACATGAAAATTTAGCTAGACACTGACAGTTGACAACAATTTGTTAATAATAGGTGAAGAACTCATTCTACCAGCAATTCTTGACTTTTTAGGCTCATAGACCCAAGACTGATAACATGGAAGATAAGTTATATAAAAAAATTTTTACATGAAAAAGTTGTTTAAAAAATTCAATTAGAGTCTAACCTTCTGGTTTTTTTTGCACCCATGAATATTGTGTGAAAAATGCAAGTTTGGATGCAACGCTATTATTTGCAAGACACCTGAGATATGGGAAGGGGTGTCAATATTTTATGTTGTTTGGAAATACTTGAAGGAAAGTCTACTAAATAACATTCTACTGTAACTGATGTATTATCAACAATTCTTGTGACAAATTATTGCAAATGTATGTTGTTGGTTATATGAAGAAAAAAAAATAGAAACCAGATGTTTAGACTATTATTTTTTGGTTAAGGAGTTAGAGTCAAAGTCAGGATGTGACAAAACTCAGTAATCACATGATAAAACACTGTGATAATTGAAATGAATTAAGTTTAAGCCCATGGAAGCTGTTATTGATTTAAGAAAAAGATAAAAAAATAAATTTGAAAGAGAATGAGATCAGGGTTAGTAAAAGCAAATGCCTTTCTAAATTGGCATAATAAATTATATTCAAGCAAAATATTAGCATTTTTGAATTATACCTTTTGTGAATAAGTCTAAGCTTGTAGATAAATTGGGGATTTAATACGATTTTTTGCAAAATGAAAATTAATTTGCAAACTTTTGGGTTTGTTATGTAAGAAAATCTGAGCGAGTTTAGTGTCCTTTGGTGTACATCATGAACAAGGTGATAAATTTTGTATTTGTGGCAGTAGGTGAACTGTAGGTGGAGATTAAACAAAAATGATATTGAGCAGAAACCAAATTTTAAGAAAAGTTGATTGAAAAAACAACCACAGTAATATATTTAAAAAGGCATATATTCAAGAATGAGCTAGGCCAGTGGTGGGCTAATTGCAGCTTTAGTAACCTGAATGTGGCTTGGCCGAAAAACATTGTCCTTGACAGGTTCTTTTTGTCTCTTTTGACTAATGAGTTTACTGACCATTGAGCTAGTCTATCCATATAACACTAAAGAAACGAATTAATTTAAATTGGTTGGGATTCTTAAAAACGTTAATAGTGATTTTCTTTTTTTTTCAGGAATCGAATAAATTTAAATGTGAAAACAAATAAAATATATCATTTTAATTTTTAGTATATATTAAAGTATTTTTATTATAAATTACAAATACATTTAAAATAAAAATTAAAGATTAAAGAACTACTTCAAAGCATTTTATTGGAATTAGTTATGAATTTTGTTGATACTTTATTTTACCCCAGGCAGTACAAGATACGTCTCAGAATAAAGGAATGAATTTGATAAATAATGAATCTTCTTAGGTACATATATATTGGGGTTAGGAAATAGGGTGTGTACATTTTTATGTGGATGACAATATCTTAAAATCCAATGATTTTTACACTCATGAAAAAGAGATGTTACATCACCTTTTTACAAATAAACATATGTTTACCAATTAAGAAAATCAATGGCATTGACAAAACGTGGGTATATTCACACAAGTTTACCCAATATTTTGACATGTGAAAATTTAATCTTCCGAATGGAGACATATTTTTTAAAATTTACAGTTCATGGGTGTAAACAAAGATGGGATAAGATTGTCTTTCAAACAATGAAATAAATTTTTGTTTTTAATTTGTGAAAAGTATAGTGGGTGTATATTTTTATGAGATTAATAACATATCTTTAAAAAAGACGCTCAAGGCTGTTATAGACATGAAAAACGGTTAAGAGATTCTTCTTTAGATAAAATAATTCTTTGTTTTAGTTAGGTTTTTTTTAGTAGAAAAACAAGGCAAAAATTTGGTTACATTTTTAAGGAGGATATCAGCATATCAAATTCTGTTAATATGAAAATTATTTAAAATAGTATCCAGAGTTTTGTTTGTAAATTTAAGATTATGTTTTCACGATTTTCCAGGGACAAAAAATTTAGTTCAGGGGAACAAAAAGGGGTAGGGTAGGCCCAAAATTTAACAATTTAAAAATGCAAGATGTCTGAAGTATTTCTCTAGCGTAGAAATCAGCCATCAATGAACTCCTTTAGTGACAATAATGATTTAATTAGTGATCATTTACATTTGATAATTTAAGGTCATATTTAGAGTTGTTGTAAAGAGGTCGAGAAAAGGGGTAGGGTAGGCATATAAAATATAGCAGAAAAATACTTCTCAAATAAAATGTAATCATCATGGCATAGATACTTCTTTTTTAAAATCAGATATTGTGATGAGTGTTCGCAATAGCAGGTAGAAATTATCGCTAAGTGCCTACCGTTATTATGCTGATAACGTCACGTCAGATCATATTTAATAATTTTAGCAACCTGTTGAATTTAACTGTGTGGATCAGAGATTTGTGAGAAAAATGTATTGTTAGTCAGTCAAGTTGGTTAACTTTTATTGTTGAATTTTTTGTTCTAAAACAAAATATACAAAAAGCTCTCCTGTACAGGTATGGTGGTTAATTACTTCATAGCTGCATTTCTAACATTTTTTTTGTTTTGGGAGGGGGGGGGATGGGTTAAGAGCTGGTGTCAACCGTAGCACTATACAAAAATATAAATATATTTAAATTACAACCTCTGCTATCCTTTAGCACTTAATTCTGTAATTATTTTTATCCAGAATATTATTTTTTATAATAGGGGGTTCTAGGGATGAGTTTATGTCCCCAAGGGGGTCTGTGGTAAACAAAATTTTAAGAACCACTGATCTAGATGTTTGATAAGTATCTACATCAGGCTTTCCCAACCTGCGGTGCTTCCACTCCCATGTGTAAGAACCATAGCAGACATTATAATTTGTCCGACTATGACATAAATATTTATAAATTAAAAAAAAATTCTTTATTAAAATGTTACTTTTTGTATTAAGTCACAAGTTTAAATTGTAAGCTCTACAGTTCTCTATGAAACTCAGAATAAAAATTTAGACAATTATTTTAATATGCATTTTTACTTTTGTAGGGAGTGTTAGACTTAGTAAAAAAAAATCATATGAGGTACGAGGCTAGTCAAATAATTAGTAGGGGATGCTGATCAAAGAGAAACACTGGTTGGGAAACGGGAAACACTGGTCTATCTACATAGACTTTTATCACTTTGTTTAATTTTTTTTCAATAATGTTTTCTTTTGTTTGTTTTTGAACAGCTGTACCTGCTGAGGAACTTGACTCACTTCCTGAAGTTGACCAAAATTCTGCCAAAGAAAATGGAAATGTTAGGGCAAGGAAGGTTAAAAAATAAAATAGTGATGACCCTTTTTAGAAGTTAATCATCGGCTAGCATTCAGAAACAATTACATTCTCTGATATTTTGTGTGGCTTGTTTGATCATTAGGACATTTGGTGAATGAGAAATATTTTGTTATATTTTGATAGGCCTTGGTTGATTATGGAAATGAATTAATATTTGATGTCAAATAATGCTGGCACTCTCTTACTAAAGATATTAAATTTCATATTCAGCAGTTGCTAAAAATCAATGGAGTGGTGATTTGTTTTCCCAAGAAATACATTTATTCGAAAAAAGCAGCACAGTAATATGTTTAAAAAGCCATCTTAAATATTTTTATCAACCTGTTGAATTTGATAAGAGGTTAGTGAGAAAAAGGTATCGTTAGTCAAGTTGGTTAATTTTTTGTTCTTGAGTTTTCTGTTTTAAAACAATACATTGTATTTTTTAAGTCATAAGTTTTCATTTTTAATTCAAATGTCCCTCATTAATTTTTGTTGCAAAGCTGTTTATCAAGCATGTTGAGGTTTTAGTACAATGTTTATGGTCCTTTGTTTTCATGCTAAATGGGAGTTAGAGTTGTCGTGACTAGTTTTAATGTTAGACCAGGCTAGGAATTTAAAAATTTTTTTAAAGGGAAAAAAGTGTTACAGTGAAAGAGGTAATTACTATGTTAAACTGTTCCTAGGACACATAATAAATTAATTTGATCATTTTTGTATAATTTGTTGACTTGTTGAGTCACTACTGCTTCATAACTGTTTTTTGTTTTGAACAACCGAACTACTGCGTTTACAGTTTTGTTAGATTGTTTGTCATGAGAGTATGGGTGTTTTCTTTGCTGGCACATTTGTCTCTTTTGACAGAGTATCAGTCCAACATTTTGTTTAAAACAAAAAAGTACTGCTAGTATGTATTGTTTTTCTTCTGATGAATCAGGCTTCTCAGAAAGACTTTGTTGTAGCTAGACAGGTATATAAAAAAAAAAACGTGTTTGTATTTATGGTGAAAACTTTTATTTGAAACTAGACAAGATCCTGTGAGAGTTTTTTAAAAGGTTATTGTAATAGTAATTTCTGAAATGAATAGATGATTGTTTAATGAGAAAGTCTGCATTAGTAATTTGCTATTATGTTGATTGAAAATAGGCATAAAGCTGTCTCGCACAGACAGAGGGAGGAACATCCTTTGTCATGTTAAATAAAAAGCGTGTACAGAAATAGAGAGCGATTATCCAGAATTTTAGCAATTATTTTTCTTTTCAAAACTAAAAGTTCCTAAAATGTATTTGGTTTTTTGGTCTTCCTGAACCCAACATACCCATTATTTTTGGTTCATAAACCAACAAAAAATGAAACAAAACTCTTTGAAATTTGAATATTGCTTTTTTTGAAATCAATAGACATGATAGATTTTGTTGTCATTTATTTGTTGATTTCTGCTACGGAGCATGTATGTTGGAGTTTCACCATTGAATGATCTTCTCTTTAATATTTAAACTATTACTCTTGATGTTCATGTAGTTTTGTGACCGGCTGTGTATGTTCTGATTTGTTGTTGTTTTGGTGGATTTACCTCATGCTCTTTGAAATGTAGTCTTCTTACATAGTCACTTTTTTTTTTAAAAAGTATTTTATTACCAAAATGTAATGCTTTAAAATTTTAATATAAGTTAGTCTTGAGTTAATGTTCTCCAGCATTAACTATGGATGGATTAAAGCGGTTGGCTGTGAAGAGAGTCAGTGTTAGAAATTTGCAGTTTGATTGCTGGTAACAAATGCATACATGATGATTTCATGAATATTAAATAAGGAATGTCTGCACTAGTAAACATACGGTAAAATCTTTTGAACAATTACATTAGCCAATTACATATGGAGTTAACTATAGGATTACTAGGGGCTGCACAGCGCACTGATCTTCAGAATGTGAATTAGTGGTCCATGCATTTATTAAGATTAATTTTAGCGAACGCTCAAGAAAAGTTGTGTTTAAAGCCCAAAGATGAATTTTAGCGAACGCTTAAGAAATGTTGTGTTTATGGCCGAAAAATGAATTTTAGAGAACGCTCAAGACAAATGGTGCTGATAGCGGTTATCACATTTATAGACTTTGTGTTCAAATTCAAGGGCAATGAAAAATTCAACAGAATATAAATAGACATTGCATCGAACTTCAAAACTCTATTTGGGGAAGTGCTCTGTGCAGCCTTATGAAGTACACAATATCCTATACATTGAAGGGTTTTGGAAAAAACAGTAAAATAGTTATAAAAATGTGCTCATTGTTTTGATGTGTAATTTTTCTGTAAACTCAAGTTTTGACATGATTTGGCTGTTAACTAGAATATACTATATGTGCTGGTGAATTTGGATATTCACAACCTGCTGGTGTATTCATGTTTTTGACATGTTCTATGAGGCTGACCACTTACATAATATATACCGTTCTGCTGGTGATGGTTGTTGTCATGGTGATGGTACTACAAGTGACAATGCTTTCGTTGTGTCTTGTGTTGGTGATTGCTACAAGTAATTCATTTCAGAATCAAACCCACCTTTTAATAGGAGAAGAAAGAAGAAAAAAATGATTTACCTAAAATATTTTGCCATTTATTTGGTATGACTGTGGGAGCAATTTTTGACTTGTTCACTTGTTAATGTATTTAACAAATAATCATTTTGATGAATAATCTGAATTTTCTCAAAATTCATTTAAAATTGAGAGATAAATGTGTCCATGTAAACATGTTTTATTGTTTATCCCTTTTGAGGGTTACATACAGATTTCTTTTATATTAAACATTTCCTGTAGAGATTTGTTGTATTAGAAAAAGACATCTAATATTTACTGTCTGTCAAAATAAAACATTTACTGTCTCTCAAAGCAAATTAAAATATTTACTATTTAAAAAAAAATTAGATTTTTATTTTTAGTGCACACAAAAATCTAATGTTAATGTACATAAAAAAATAAACTTAAAGAAAAGCACAATTTTGCATCAGCCCACTAATAACTTCAATACTTATAGTACATGTATTTTGTCATTTAAATATATATTTTCTTTGTTGCGTTACCAGGAGAGACCTGACTAAAATAAAAAATTTTTGTTTGCTTCAAATGCTATTTAATACTGCTGCTGTTTCTTTTACATTCAAATGTTCTCCTGCCTGTTAAGTTTTTTTTTACTGTGCATGCCATCGACATGAACATAAGTGCTAACTACCCACTCTTTTATTGTATGGTTTTTAATGACATTAATGCTCTTGGTTTTCCCACTATCTCTTCCCACTAATTTTGTTCACAACACTTACATGCTGTTACCTTTATTTATTTGAAAACTTCTTCCTGTTCCTGAGCCGTCATTAAATTTCTATTATTCAAAGGAATTGTAGAAACATAAACTGTCATATTTTTATCTTCAAGTCATAAAATTGTGTTTTAGTTTTCTATAAACAATTGTTTATATGATGGTGTGTATAGATCTAATGACTCAATGGTTGCAACTTTTTTTTTGTTGCTATGGATTGGAATTTAAAACACCTACGGTCTTGAGATTTCTGTAGAGACTGTTGATTTGAAGTTTACTCCACAGCTTTAGAGGTTAAGGTTCCTTGCTGATGCTGCTGATTTGAAGTTAAAACCAACAGTTCTATTAGGCATCTTCCAGTAAGAAGCAAGGGTAGGAAGATACAGCTTTGTTTACATTTTATAGTCCTTAACCCCACTTGATTTTTTTTTATTTTTAATTATTAGCTCTACATCTTATGCTTTTAACATTTTTGGTCATTAGAATAATATAGAAATGCAGTGAAGAATGTAAGTAGGGAAAGTCAACAGTTGTCCCTCTTTGGAACATAGTACAGAAGAGAGTAATAACATAATATTTACTGCATTTTAAAAATATAAAAACATGTGTGTGCCCTTGATGAAGGAAAAAAAACCCACCAAATTCAATGGACACTGTGGTCATTGACCTCTTTCTTGTGAGGATGATAAGAATTGCTAATTTATCTCTGCTGTTTTAGTGGAGAGCCAAACAGTTTGTAAGTAATAGTTATTACCAGCAAGCATAGTCCTGTTGTGTGCTTGTGTAGGTTCTCCATACTTTTACATTGATATCTTTTTGTGACCAAGATACAATTTTATTTAGGTACACTGCCTATTAAAAAAGAAAAAAAATTGAAAATTTCAGTCCCACTGATGTTGTAAGAAATGGAACTAAATTGATTAAACACTGAAACAGTTAAATTAAAGCTACCAGTCCTAACATGTATCCTCTTAGTACACTAAGAATACTTTCATCTTTGTTTTTTGGGTGTTGTATTTGGGCTATAATTAGTTCATCATACAGCAGCCAGTTTGCACCCCTTTTAGAATGCATGTTAAATTACAAATATTGATTGGTATGGTTAGGTGGAAATGAAATGTTTAAGTTAAAAAAAAATCAATACTAGTGTATAAGAAAATGTCATTAAAATGTGTCAGTGTATTTGAGGATATTTGGAGTTTTCAAATGTTTTTACCTTGTCTCTTCTTCATTTAAAACTGAAATTAATTCATTGACAATGGCATGTGACACCAAATCTTATCATATTGCCATTTTCGTCTTTTCCTTCAGCTTTCCACTGTTGTAAATACTGCTATTACTGGGTTATTTCCCTTGTCCATCGACTGCTTGGAGTTTTCTTTGAACAACTTTGCACTTGATCTAAAACTAAAATAAACATACCAATTCATTCATACATTGATGGGGGGGGGGGGATCGGTTTACCCACGAAGTTTGTTGCTCGTGTGTTGAGGACTCCATGCATCTGGCCAACCTAATGATGCAATCGTAACACAAGTAACACAAGGCGTGTTTAGAAATGCGAGAGAAAGAACAACACACTTTTTTTTTGAAAAAGAAACAACAATGCCTCTTTATTATGAACTGTGAACAAAATATATTTTTTTGTTTGTTTCTACAGTAAATTCAGAAAGAACGCCATCTTAACCGCACCCACAGCGAAGGCCAAATAATCTACACCCTCTCAGCGTCCCCCACCGCCCACCCACCCTTCAAAACAGGGGCTGTTAACTGTAATGCTATGTTTATTAGAAGTATCGCGTGCTGTCGTAGCCATGTTGCGACATAATCACTGGATTAAAAAACAGAATCCTTTTAACAAGAGGTCAACCATTTAGCAACAGCTAAGCAGTTGATGCTCGAAGATGCATAGGTTAATTAATATACAGTGTAAAGTGTAAAGGCTATTGAATGGTTTTTTAATATTGGTGTTTATCTCCCTTCATTTTCAGCGGGTCGCTTCCCCTATTTTTAGAAAACTCGATCATGCTCAACAAAAATCTTCTGTGACTGAGACTACTGAGAGTTGGTTTCTCTTAGACACATGATTGTCGAGTGCTTAATTAATGCCGAGAATAACTGATGAAATCATTACAAATAAATTTAAGAGGGGGTCTTATAACACTTAGTTCGCCCCCCCCCCCCCCCCCATTTTACGACATACAAAGCGAGTTTTTTGGTTATCCAGTGCAATTTTTTATGACGCTTCTAGTTGTGGCAAGTCATCACTCATTGTTTGCCGATAGAAGCCGAAAAATGTTATTTTTCGGTAAACACGGTGATAATTTCTCTTATTCCTTGCATCTTTATATCAAGATGAATATTTAAAAAAATGTTAAGCAAAAAGCATTCATACCATTAAGATTTGTTGAAACATTTCCCCATCACTCTTACTCTTTGTGTGAGTGGGCCAATATAGAACTTCGTCCCATTAAAATTACTCTAGTCTAAATGAACTAAATCTGAAGCAAAGAAACATATAATATAACTTTTGTTTGACGTTATCTCGCCGAATTCCTACGATTCCGTGGAATATAAACAAAAAACCCAAAACAATCCATCCAATTGAAGTTGTACATTAGGAAATGGCGACAGCGGGCCGTCCAATTAAAATACGAAACTTATAGACCAGTGGTTCTTAACCTGGGTTCGATCGAAGCCCAGGGGTTCGATGAGTCAGTCTCAGGGGTTCGGCGGAGGTCCAACTAAAATCAGAAAAAAAATCATATTTTATTTTTCTGATTAAGAAGGGTTCGGTGAATGCGCATAATTAAACTGGTACCTCCAAAAAGGTTAAGAACCACTGTTATAGAACAATCAACACAAATTCAACATTAAATAAACGCTAGTTAAATAACCACGCCCATCCCAAAATGTAACTTTCCATTTACATCAGTATTGTAAAAAAAACAACAACAACAAACAACGTACAACAACAACAAAGGAATCGTGTTATTTAAAAATGATGACGTTAGCCGGACAAAAACACCAACATTCGAAGTGGCCAGTTTGAGCAAAGACGTTGTTGCTGTTGTACGGAACAAAGATACTGCCATCATGAAGGTTCGTCAGGTGAATGAAACAACATCATAACACGATTTTTTAAATAATTTTTTTTTTTTTTTTTTTTTTTTACACTTTATTTAAAATTTTTTTATTTTTAAAAAATTTTTTTTTTTTTTTTTTTTTTTTTTACACTTGACTCAACATTTGCTTCATACTGCCATCATGAAGATTCTTCACGTGAATTCAAAGACATGTACCCGGTCACACTACTTCCGACCATCATGAAGATTCTTCACGTGAATTCAAAGACATGTACCCGGTCACACTACTTCCGACCATCATGAAGATTCTTCAAGTGAATTCAAAGACATGTACCCGGTCACACTACTTCCGACCATCATGAAGATTCTTCAAGTGAATTCAAAGACATGTACCCGGTCACACTACTCCCGATGTTTGATTCAACATCCGATTCACACCGAATGCTTGTCTTTACCATATGTGCTGAGGCGTACCTAAAGTTAATGACACCGGGGGGGGGGGGGGGGGGGCAAACAAAGGGAAAAAAAAAAAAAAAAAAAAAAAAAAAAACCCCCCGAACCCCCCCCCCCTCTGCCCCCCCCCCCGCTTCCTACGTCACAGCAACGGTGTCATGTTTGTAGTGGGTGAGGTTTATATTTATGCTGATGCCCATAGAGTCCAGGCGTGCACAAAGAAAAAATAGCCGCGAACCGAATAAACATAGCATGGGTGGAAAACATATATATTTTTTTCGAATCCGGTAGACAGATGTTCATAATTTTTATTTATGCGTCTTTACAAAAGACTTCGTGTACAACAGCGGTTCTCAACCTTTCTAAAGCCGCGACCCTTTAATACAGTTCCTCATGTTGTGGCGACCCCCAACCACAAAATTATTTTCGTTGATACTTTATAACTGCAGAGTATATGTGTTTTCAGATGGTCTTAGGCGACCCCTGTGAAAGGGTCGTGCGAGCCACAGGTTGAGAACCGCTGGTTTACAACATAGTGATTGCTGGAAAGGGCGAAATGGCCCGTGAGCCGTACGTCGGGTAAGCCTGGTATGGATCAGAAGTTGCGTATATACCATACAGTGACTAGACCAGAAGTTGTTGAAGGTAACATACCCAAACGGCATTCAAAACTGTATCTTATTAATTGTCTTTGCATTTCAAAATATTTGATGAAATATGGACTGCAAGAGATTAAAAAAACAACCAAGCTGGTCACCAATCATTAGATTACTTGACTAAATGCCCCTAGGGGCAAACTACTGACATTGCTCCAACCCACACAAACATCTGCTTCATTGGGTGTGTGGATAAAGGTGGGTTGGGGGTTTCGAGGACAATGAATACTAGGGGATTGGGGGTCTTTGTACCCACAGTGCGTGTTTTCATTTTTTTTTGCAGGGGTGGAAAAAAAACCCAACAGATTATACCTCATGTTATTTAGCACCGATGGCATGACGGGCGACTCGTGGCCCCCAAACTGCATACGTCAGTACTAAAAAAAAAAGTACTTTCACATTCAAACACAATCAGTCAAATGATACACATGTTAACCTCACATTAAATGGCAAGGTAGCAAAGTCCAAAAAATAACAAGTTAGCCTTTTGAAAACACGCTTTTGTTATATTGATATTTCCCTTTTATTCTTCATCTCTCACTGAATTATTCCTCCATGGAGTGACTTCCACCTACAAAGATTACGGGGTGGGGGTGGAAAAGGGGGGGGGGGGAGGACGGGCTGGAATCAGCAACACAAAGAAAAAGCCAAATTATTCTTGAATAGACTTAACATGCACCACTAGTATCGATGATTTTGTTAAACCACTACCTTGACCTGACAGCAACAACAAAACACCATTTTGACAATTTGTTCAATTCCTTCATCTAACATCCGTCCCATACGGAAACTGAAGCTAAGGTAAAATATAAGTGGTTGAAGTCGAAGAGACATTCTCCATGGTGGAACTGTCTTGGAAATAACAGACTTCTTGGTAACATTCCAGAACTGTCTGGTAAATAATACACTTTGTTGTAACATCCTGGAACTGTCTGAGAATTAATGTACTTTGTGACAACATTCGACTGTCTATTTTTATCAGCACCAAAATCCCGTGCCTGTCACAACCAGGCGTCAGAACCACTTACGCTTAGAGACAAACACACACACACACACACTCACATAAACATAGAAATGCCCTCACTGACATGCACTCATTGACATCGTCCAACTTAAATAAAAACCACGTGACTCGTCCAATGAAATGGAACACATGAAACGAGTTGTCGTCAGGTCACATGTAAGATGTCCGACTGAGTCGCCCTCTCAGCGTCGTGCTGTTGCCGATCGTCTGCTGCTCGCTGTCCCTCTGTTTGGTCCTGACGTGCTTGCAGATAAAATCGTGCCAATTTTCCGGCAGCAAAATTAAGATGACACCGATCGTGATAAGGACAAGGGCCGCAATCTTCATCCCGGGGAATCCTTTCACTTTCCACACTGTGTCCGCAACTGAAGATAAAAAAAAGAGGAATGCTATTTTTTTTTGGTTGGGGTTGTTTTGTTGAAAAAAAATGCACGTTTTTGGAAATGATGGAAAATGTGTCACAATATTTGCTGAACGCACCCGAACACACTTTTCACGTGATTTCCACAAAAAAAAAAAAAAAAAAAAAAAAAAAAAAAAAGAAAAAAAATCTGCCAGCAAAGAGGAGGCTTTCAACATGGCTAATGAACGGCATCTAGGATGATGTCTTCAATTTTATCAAGCAACCGCTATGAAACTGCAACTTAAGTTCATAACTGTACAATCAATATCATTAAAACCTTTTACTTATTTATAAAGTTATGGGCTACCGGAAATTTGTTTGAAAGAAATTTCTTAGATGGAAAATTGATCATTGATCGACGGAAATTTGATCGAACGGAAGTTTGGTCGAATTTTTTTTGTTTCAGTCCACACATTCAAATTTTCGTCAAATTTATGTTTGAACGCACTCTACTATATAGTAAAACAAAATAATGCACCGAAAAAGAAAGTTGACGCAAAATTTGATCGTGTGAACTGAAAATAAAATTAGACCAAACTTCCGTCGAACAATTTTCTGTCGACGAAATTT